AGTTAACTTTTAATTTATAGTGATTACATATATATATACATTTTTCAATTATTGTTAACTATTTATTATTATATATTGAAATTATCTACTTTTTATTTGCTAAAATAATTGCATTGATCAATAATTATATATAATTCTTAAATAGTTAAAACATTTTTAACCTCTATCTAATATTTAAAACATAAAATAATTATTCATAACAATTCCTATTTTATGAAATATCTAATAGATATTTTGAGTTATTTTTATCCTAAATAATAGATGATTATTAAGAAATTAAAATTATCAATAGATCTATATGAAGAAAGTAGAATGGTTATAAAAATATATCATTATATAAGAATAGCTATGTTATTAAGATATAAACTCTTAGTTATATTAATTTATAATAGAGGAATGGGTAACTTTTAAAGGTTATATAAATTATAAGTAAATATATATACCGTTTTTGTGTGATAATTAAATAAATGAAGGTTTTAGCTATGATGGCATTATTGCTAGTAGCAGCATACTGTCAATCAAATGAGATTGATGTAGTATTAAAGATGTTGAGTGATTTAAAAAATCAGACAAGCAAACAATTATAATAAATGGAGAGCGATTGGGAAACAACTAGATATGTAATTGATTATATATGAAATTTGAACAGCAAAAACAAGACATAGTAAATGATTTAATGAGATCTGCATCAACATAAAGAGGTGAATGTAATAGAAGAGATTAAGAGTGGGCAAACAAAGAAAGAGACATTAGAATAACACTTAGCTATATTAATTGGTTAGAAAAAAGAATAAAAGAGAATAATGAAAGACTTTAAAGATTAGATATCAATAGATGTGAATCTAATTCTAATTTCATTAATGATATTAAAAATTCTAAGAAATCTCTAAATTTAATTGCCTTCCTTAGAAGAGCTGTAAAAAATGCAAAAGAAGTATTAATTAAAGCAATAATTAGACTGATTTACCAACACTTTTGTAATCTGCTTAATTCATTTAACTTAAATCATTTTTAGCTGATGATGGTGAAGAACCAGAAATTACAGATGAAGATAATGAACCACCTCATGTATATGATGAACCTGAAGTTGTTGATAATGCAGATCAAGTAGATTAAGAAGATGATGTTCCATAAGAAGATGAAACTACAACAGAAGAATAAACTACTGAAACCTAAGATCCTTCAGATGAAGTAGACTAACATAGTTTAGTTGATGCTAATGAAGAACCAGAAGCTCAAGTACCTGAACATCCATTAGAGGCTGAAGAAAAAGCTACAAATGAATAATTAGCAAAGGAAGCTGCTGCATTCAATAAAATTATTGAAAAAGGATAAAAGGCTCCTGCTGAAACTGGTTCAGGCAAAGATTATTCATAATTTACAGTTGCATAATAAGAATTATTAAATTTTTTAGACATTTTAGAAGATTAAGTAAGAGGATCATTTGGAAAGAAATAAGATAATTAAGTTAATTCAGCTATGGGTTACAGTGATTTCAAAGGATTGATTCATAAAGAAAATGAAACATTCAAAGGTCATTTGGCTGCTGAAGATGTTAATCTAGTAACACTTTCAATATATATATTATTAGGAAAAATTATAAAATTAATTGATTACCATATTATAAGCTACTGCAGCTTGCAAAGACAGATTAAAGAAAATCCAAAATTCAATTGATCTAGCTAATGAAGTATCCTTTTATAATTTATACTTAGGATTTAGCTTCTTCAGAGGCTCACTTTAAATCTGTAACTGAAACTCTTTAAGAAGAGTAAAATACCTTTGATGATGTTTACAGAATTTATTCAAGTTAAGTTGGCTCTCAAAGTACATCATACAAAGGTGATGTTTAAGCCAAAATTACCAACTGATTATTTAGAATCATCCAAATATTACAATTATTATATAAATCTAAATTAATTATATACTTCCTAAGGTTGTATTTATTTAATATAAAATATACATAAATTCTTGCTTTTTGTCATTTATTAAATAAAAAAACTCAAGGAGAATATTATTATTAGAAAGTCCTACCTAGATTAATAATTATTAATAATATTATATTAGAAATTAAAATGATAATATAAAATTTTACATAAATGAAAATGAATAAAAAATTCAAATAATAAATATTCACAAATCATCAAAAAATATATAAAAACTGAATTTAATTAAAAGATAATTCATATCCATATAATCGACCTACTAAAGAAGAAAATTAACTGGATTAATTAAGGCTACTTATTTCAAAAAAAACACTTTCAGATCGTTTGGTTACATAATGGAGATGAGTTTTGTATAAAAAAAAGGATTATAATATTTTCTATAAATTATGGTCGAATTGAAATGATTGTATATGTATAATGCTCATTAAATGATAAGTTAATTTAATTAGCTTTATTGTATTAATTTTGACTATCAAATCAAATGAAAAACCTAAATAAATCAAGCCAAAGCCAAAAAATAGAATTTATTTTATTTTTGAATTTAATATCTATGATTTAATCGAATAATTAAGAGTGGGAAAATGTTTATATATTTAATGAAAAAATTAATGATTTTATTACTTCTAATACAGATTCAACTTTCTATTGGAGTCAGCACTTCAAGAATTCGATCATAGTAATCATAGACACTTTAAGCAATGTTTCCTGATACCTCCTTAAAAGCAATTCATAATAAATAAAATATTTACACATTAAAGTATTTTTATGGAATATAATGAATAGCATCACTGAAGCATATGATACTGATTTGATTGATGATAATGGAGACATTATTGAGACACCTTATGTATCCTTAGATAATATTGATTTAGATCATTTTATAGTTGAAAATGGTAATTAATTTAACATATAAAAAATAGAATGTGTGGCATTTCCAAAGTATCCCTAATTGACAGAATTAATGGATTATCATATATGGAATTCAAGCGAAAATACGTTTTATTCAGATATTATTACAGCATCAGATTATTCAAACTTGTATATAGTAACTTAGGATTTGATGCTTTTATAATTCAAATTAAATACTAGATATTGGGTAGTTTCTTAATAATCGAAATAAATAGACTTAAAATAATATATTGAAAATTAGAACTAATCCATCAGAACAAATGCTTTTTTTAGTTGTCCAAAGGTTTAAATGAATTTAAATTTAGGGTCATTTAAATTGTTTGATAATATCTGAATATGGAGCCTTTTGGATACCTAAATTTGTTGATTTTGATGATCCTAAAACAGAAATTGTGCCAGAATTAGATAAAAATTTCATTAAAAGGAAGGAGATTATAAAGATTTCTACTTTTGAGAGTATTTTAGCTATTGCAACAGGTGAAGAAGGTGTTGATATTTACAGATGTGGATATAAGATTAGTAGTAATTTTGACAAGAAAATATATTATTTAAGCACAATTAACAATTAATAAATGGAAATTCCTTTGAGTTAATAAATTTATATAATAGGAGTGAAAATATAAGAAAATTTATTATATGTATTAGATGAAGATTTAGGTGTGTTTATATTTGATATATCAAATCTATAAAAATGTAATTTGAAAATGAGAATACCAATTCCAAGAACAATTGCCTTTGATTTTTATGAAAATACATTAATGGTAGTTGCAGAAACTGTAAATCACATTTAATATATTTTGGAAATATTCTTAGATTTCAATGCTAATACTTATTATGTTAATAGAGTTTATGTTGATGATTTTACTTTTGTTGATATTTAAATGACAGATGAATATGCCTTCTTTATTGCAGAAGATACTCATATGATAATAAAACATTCTATATTTAATGGGTTTGTCAAGAACAATAAAGAGCTAGTTCGAACTTTCTTTGAAGATTAATTAATTAAGTTCTAGCATTTTACTTCTGTTGTTGAATAATCTTCAAGATATTCACAAACCATATATTATGTTGGATTATCTAGAAAATCTATTCATGCTTGGAAATTTAGAAATTACAATTCTTTTTTAGCATGCAATTTTGATTCAAGAGTAGAAAAGGAATATACATTAAAATCAAATGCATCTGCTTGTTATAAAGATTAAGAAAAATCTCCATACATTTAATGTTAAATGATCTAAAAAGTAAAAGTAGTATCTGATGGTACTCTATTGGAATCTGATAGTCTTGCAATAATTATTACAGTTTCTTGTATTTCATCAGTATATTATAATATTAATTTAGGCAATTTTCATTATATTATTAGTTTTTTTGTGTACTAAATGGAGAAAATTTGTAAGATCAATTAAAATGAAAACTGAGAACTTGAAAAACATGAAAAGCTATGGAAGGATTTAAGAATAGGAACAGAATGCATGATAAATATATTTGCATTATATATCAATAATTATGTGTTATATTCTTTATTTTTAATTGTCATAATAAAACTCACAACTCATGTATTCACAACACTTTTTAAAGTAAAACCTTAACTATTTAAAAACTAAAATATTTAACTATTCTTTGATTATATAGATTTATCAATCTTATAAATGAGATTTAAAGTGTTGATATGTTATTAAAATAGAAGAGAGAGTGAGTAATCCCAATATTATGAAATCTTAAACATTAAATTTTTAAATGCAATTTTCATTTCCAATTTCAATGAATATTAAACAACACATAATCAAAGTATAGTCTACACCTATCATTCAGAGAATATTGAATGGTTTTTGATGAATTACAAGAATTTATTTGTGATGTCTAAAAACTCATTGTTTTTTTTTAATGCTAATAATAGCTATTTTTTAATTAACAATGATCTTTATTAGAGATTAGACTTTCATTGAGCTATAACCTATTTATTAATAAATATTAATTTTTATGTTTAACATCAAATTAAGTTAATTAACTTTTTATAGTGAATATAATATTTGAATAATAAACTATAGATATTATTTTCAGAGTTGTTAATAGTAATATTATAAAAATGAACTTAGTAGCAAAGTTATTAGATGATTTATTAATTTATTTAATAATCCGTTTATGTAAAAAGAATCAGAAGAAGAGCATTAATTATAAAATTAAAATCCTATTTAAGAATCACAATAAAAATCAAAGACTAAATTTAATATAACATGCTCTTTATTAATACTATTCAACCTTATTATAGGATTCTATTTTGTGAAATATTCAAGGAATGGTATTTATTTTTGATTTTGTTTACAGAATACAATGAGGTTTGCTTTTATTTAGGAGGGTTTTCATACTATCATGGAATTGTATTAATACTATTAGGACTCTATATTTTATTAATAATATGTCCATGTGAATGTTATCCTTGTATAAACAAAGAATATTCTAGTAATATGTTTGGAGTTATTTTAAGTGTTGAATTTACTTAATAAGCAATATTTTTGACTGCTTTGACAGTATTCAAATTATTTAATTTTTAAGATTGTTTATTTTTACTAAGAACCTTGTGGATCACTTGTTAAATTTGTATTGATTTATTTAATAATAAATTTATCATTAGTATTCTTTAGTATAAGTGTCATATTATGGATAGCTTTCCATACTGATGAATTTAATATTATTAAAACATTAACTGAGTGAATCAATTCTATATATATATATATATAAATTAAAACAACTACAAATAAATAATTTTATAATTAGTTTCTTTTTATTTTTGGCTGAAAATTTACAATTATTCTAAATAAGCTAATACTTAAATAATTGTATAATAACTAAAATTTATCTTAGAATTTTTTAAAATCATATTATTATAGTTTTCTTTCTTCTAAATTTCAAAGCCTTTTTCTGAACAATTAAATATTATATATTGATGTGATAGGAAATTATGAATTATAAACTGTATGAGAAATAAAAATTAAAATTATCCTTATATATATATATAGATACTCAAAATGCAATGAAATAAATATAAATATAGAGTTTTATGATTGAGCAAATCACAATTCATTTACAAGAGCTCTTTTCAATTTGTTATAATTTATTCTGATTTAGAGATTATAGAATAAGAAGAGTTTATTTAAGGTCTTTCTTCATTTAATAAGAATGATAACATACTCCCAGGTTCTTTGACTTCTGTTTCTGGACTTGTTTCTATACTTGTATGTTTTGTTAGTAGATATTGATTTGTATTGTGAGGGGAACTTAGATTTTTCTCATTTAATATGATCATGTGTATTATGTGTTTTTTTATCTTTTTCTTAATGCTTCTTTAAATTTGGGGCTTCATAGTATTTATGCAAAGATGGAATGTGTTAGGAGGTTTTGAGGAACTTATTGAATTTTTTTCTTTTATTTGAAGAATTCCAAAACAAAAATTTGCATAAAAGAAGAAATTCAAAGGGGGTCGCAGTTGCTTTTCTAAAATTATAGGCATATACGAATGAAGTAAAGAAACTAGTTAATTTTCCGCAGCCACATTAATTAAATCAAGACCATTAAGATAAAATAATTTAATATTGAACTTCCCAATAATTGAAATCACTCTAAAATTCTCGTTTTATTATTTAATTTGAAAAATATTTTTATATGTGACTCTTAATTTACTAATATTTCTTTAATTATCTACACAATATATATTTTCTAAATTAAAATAATTTAGAATCATAATACTTTTATGTTTATTTGATAATGAAAAAAATTCTAATATAATGATCTTTATCTAGATTTGATATTTAATTAAAAAGAAAAGAAATAATATCAAGCAATTAATTCAAATTTGTTCAATAAATATTAATGTTATATTTTAAAGTGTATAAATAAATTTTTTAGCTTTGATTTATAAGTTATATTCTCACACATAAATAAAATACTTATATTTTGTTTTAGTTTTATGTTATTTAATTAAATTATCGAGATAAAATGACATCTAATCTAGATTAAACAAATTTATAAGTAATTTTTTATAATTGTGGAATGTATTCCTATTTTTTTAATTTAGTAATCATATAATGGTTTCCTTAAATATTAGCCTTAATTAAAAAGAAAACAAAATATGATCCATTAATATATATATACAAAATCTATTATTTAAAGAAATTTTTAAGCTAAATATTTAGTATTGAGAAGATATAAAAATAAAAAAGTAGAATATGCACTTAACATTTAGTCTTTGAAACAAATATGCAAAAAAAAAATTATAAATAAAATCCATATAAAATAGATATATTCAATTTGTAATTTGCAAATATATTTTTATTATCTATTATTAGTATTGAAATAAAGACTAAAATTGAATAAATATATATTCACAAATAACAAATTGAATATATAGTTATCAAATATATATAGCCATTAAATTTATAATTTATGTAAAGGATAAATGTTCTTGAATTTATATTATTATAGATAGAGTTTAGGAAAATTCCAAATAAAATCTGAGAATTTTAACGACATAAGAAGATATACAAAAAATATAAAGATCACCATCATGACTATTATGGAAATAATATAAATTATATTTGAGTAGTTTATTATAGGATACTTAAAAAGGGTAGGGTATTAAGCTATTTTAGTAATCTAAAGCATAATTATTCATTAAGTAAAATAAGAAAGTAATTAGATAAACATATCAATTTAATTTTTTCATTAGTTCAATTAATTGCTATATTTAATTAGAAATTTGTATAAATCTTTGTTAATGATGTTTAAATCATTATTATTTTTTTTATGGTGAAATAAACAAAAAAGTTCAGATAGAGAAGCAGAAAATATGATAAAATTACATAAGAAGAGAGAGAATAAATAGTAAAAATGAAAGAAAATGGTTCAACTTGTAGAGAGATTAGTGAACAAATGAAAAAAAATATTAAAACTATATAATCAATAAAATCAATAGAGAAGAAATCAGAATATGCAGATTTAAAGAAGGCTTTAATTGAATATGGATTTTAAAAAATAATGGAAATGTAATAATTAGATGTATATTTAATGATTAATTTTAGAAAACGAATTCTAAAATAATTGGTAAGTAAGTGAATAAACTTATTAAAGATCAATTGGAATAGAGGACTTCAAAGTTTTGGAATTTAATTCCTGAATAAAAAAAGTTCTCCAATAAGAGAAGAATTATACAATAAATAGTAATGAATATAGTTGAAAGAGTTCAAAATACAATTTAAAAAAATAATGACAGTCATTAATAAACAAATATCATTACAAAAGAAGAGTTTGAAGAAAAAAAGGCTGAAATTCCTATTAATTTATTTGGATAAACAACACCTCTCCATATAGCAAAGGCATATTATTATCTTATGTCTATGTTTATACAACCAAAAAATAATTATGCCTTTTTATTGTGATTTATATTTATAATTAACTTCAATATTATTGAATGTTTAGTTTATACAGTTTGATTTAATATAGATTGATTGTGCAATTAAATTACATAATTTTGATAATCAATTCTATGCAATTATTAGTTAAAAATGTAAAATATTTTAGATGTTCTTTTTCATTTATAATATTATCAATTTATTAAATAAAATATGGATTTATACCACTACTTATTTAAATTCATTATAGTTGGAGATGCCAGTGTAGGAAAGTCTTGTATACTTCTTAGATACACAGAGAAGTAATTTAGAGATGAACATGATACAACAATAGGAGTTGAATTTGGATCATAATTATTAAAGAAGAATGATAAAACATTGAAAATATAAATATGGGATACGGCTGGTTAAGAATCATTTAAATCAATAACAAGATCATATTATAAAGGGTTGATATTAGTTTCTATATTTTAGTTCTATTGGTGTACTTTTAGTCTTTGATATTACCAATCGAGATTCTTTTCATAATGTCTAAAAGTGGTATAACGATGTAAATGATCAGGCAGCATCTAATTGTACTATTGTATTAGTTGGCAATAAAACAGATCTTGAATCATAGTAATCCAATACTTTAAACTTAGACGTAAGATTACAACAATTGAAGCAAAAGCTTTAGCAGACTAATACAAAATGCAATATATTGAAACATCTGCCAAAACCAATTAAAATATTGATTTTCTTTTTGAAACAACTGCATAATAAATTTTAGATAAAATTGATAAGTAATTAATTGATTTTGCTAATGAAGTATACATTCAAATAATATTATTAGGATAGTGGTATTAAATTAGGGACTTTTTATAAATAAGGTAAAGAAGGCAATAAGGATAAAGATAATGATTGTAAGTGTTGAAGATCTTAATAAATTTATATCAATTATAATAGATCTTTTAATCTAAAGTGTTTCCTAAATTCTCAATTTGAATAATTAATCTAAATAATTTCTAATTATTAATGGATTCTAATATACGCATTATTTTTTTAAACATATAATAATTAATTTATTCATTAATTAATAACGGAACTCTCAATTAATTTTTTTAGATTCATAACTACATCAATACACAAAAAAATTTATTAATTTTATTATTATGAATAGTGAATCGAGTTCTTCAGCTAGACCGAAGAAATACGATAAAATAAGTGACGATGAGCGCTGCCTCATCATGGAATTAAAATCACAAGGAGTTAGTTGTCAAGAGATTGCCAGATAATTGGATAAAAATTTAAAGACCATCTAATCTGTTTAAGATTATGAAAAAAAATCAGAGTACAGGGATTTTAAAGAAGCTGTCACTCAATATGGAATCGACTGCTTACTTTAAAACACTTCCATAAAGGTATCATTTTTTTTTTATTAAAGTCTATGAATGAAAAAAAATTAAGAAAATTAGTCATCAAAACAGTTAAATAGGTCATACCACCCAAAAATACATCTATGTTTGGGCACTTAATCCCAGCCAATAAGAAGGACTCTAATAAAAGAAGGATTATTGACTAAATCGTCGATAATATCTTAGATATTATTCAAAAATATTTAAAATCAGGAGAACTTCCCAATCTATCTTACAATAGATTTTCCTCTAAAAGTGATCCAATGTACTAAGAATATTCAAATCAATCTTATTCCACAAACAATATCATCCAAGAAGATTCATAAGCCCTACATAGTCACTAAATATATGATGATTGTAATCATGAATTCCTCACCTATGATTACATAGACAACGATGTTGCTGAAATGATTGTTGAATTTGAAAACTCCTCTTTAAATTTCTCAAACAACGACAGGTTTGAAAAATATATAGAAGAATTTTCATCATCTTATTTCAGCCATTGAGATGTCAATTTTACTTAGAAATTGATATCATTATAAACATATTATAAATATATACAACACATATTAATATACTTTATAGAAGGATAGAGCACTATAGAATATATTTATTCAAATATTATTAGCTTTTCTATTAATAAAATGAGATGTATCTTTTATAGAATTAACAATGAATATCAAATTTATTTAAATAATCATATTTTTTAAGAGTAATACATTTATTATCAATAATGTAAGGCTCTTTTATATATCTTTTGGAAGGAATACATTACTTTAAGTCTCTTAACTACTAAAAAATAGAAATTTAATTTTACTTTAATAAAATTTTATATTATTATATTTAATCGTTAAATGCTAAGAATCCATAAATTTATTTTTCATTCTACTAACAAAATTATCACTCCTATAAATTATTTTCTATCTTCTTTTTAAAATTTCACAGAAATACTTATAAACAAGTTAATAATTAATTCATTTCAGGTGATGTGATTTTATAATATTTTAGAAACATATTTATTCAAAAATTCTTTATAAATGTACTTGTATGCTTTAATTATTAATAATTCTTAAATATTTAGATATTAAAAAACTTCCTTAATAATTAGAATTTAATGTATAGAAGTAATATAAAAATTAAATTTCTAAGTATTTTTAAATACTCTAAAATCATGCTAATAGGATGCATTTTATTATTATGAATGCATTTATAATTTAATTCTAATGAATAAATTAAATTTTGCATTTTTGTAATTTCAAATTTTTTTATTGTTTAGGATTTCTCAAATTTTTGTGTTTGTTAATCAAATGATAATAATATCAACTATTAAATAATAGAATCCTTGATAATGTTATTTTAAAATAATGAATAAGAAATTTTAGCATGACTTAATTGAATAAAAAAAAATCATATATCTAAATGTTTGTATATGTTTTTGCAAAAGAACTAATCACTCATAGAATTTAAATTCAAAATGTTATTTGTTTAAGGTTTGTTATCCATCATAAAAATAATTCTTATGAATTAATATAATATATATCATTCCTTTGGAAGACCTCCCTCTGGTGTTTATTTTCCTAACAAAGCTTTGTGAATATGAGGGATCACACCACCACCTGCAATAGTAGCTCTAATGAGAATGTCGAGTTCTTCATCACCTCTGATGGCTAATTAAAGATGTCTTGGTGTAATTCTTCTCACTAAGAAGAAAGTTATTATTTAGAATTACCTTTAAAGTCTTTTGAAGCATTTCCTGCTAATTCAAGGACTTCTGCTGTCAAATATTCTAAAATTGCTGATGCATAAACAGCAGATGTTGTTCCTACTCTGTTTTTGGCAGATACTCTTTACTTCAAATATCTATGAATACGACCAACAGGGAACTTATAATTGATTAATTTTCTACTTAAAGTCCTGCCTTCAAAGACCTAGATTAAGGTGCTTTCTTATTCTTGCCTTGTCCAAATTTTCCTCCTTTTCCACCTTTTCCACCTTTTCCGCCTTTTGCGCTCTTTGCTATGCCACTCTAACAAATATATTTGATACTTTACCATTTTGATGCTAATTTATTTTTAAGCATTAAAACTATTATATACTTGGTTTAAGAATAGATAAACTCAAATTTTGATTGGCTCTGCCTTTAAATTTTGGATAATCGAGTAAGAATAGCATGTCCTCTACACAGCTTCTCAAATCTGAATTCTAAATTGACTTTTATATAAAATTGTTTCAGCCTTATCAAATTATTATGCAATTATATAATGGAAATAATTATTTCCTTATTAATTTATAAATAAACCTAATCATATTTATATTCTATGATCGTACAAATAGATTGGAATTGACTAGGTTAAACATAAACTTTGTATTATTATTTTTCTCAATATTTTTTTCTATTTCATATTACTATTTCACTTATTATATATAACATATTAGACAACTAAACTTTGAGAGAGTTTTCCTATGACTTTATTAGATTTTAAAGTTTAAAGTTTTCTTAGATATTTGAAGTTTGATATTAAATGGAAACTAATGTGAATAAATAAGTAATTTCAACCTTTTTTTGAGAGCATCTAAATATCTTTCTTAAATCATTTAGAGTTTTAAAAAGTATTAATATTCAGGTCTAATATTAATATATCATTTATAGATAAGTCTACACTTTTATGTGTTTAAATATATATATAAGTTTCTTAAACTAAATTAAATAGAAAATTGACTCCAAATTTTTATAAGTTCCATTATCATCATTATTACATAGGAAATGATCATTTTTTTAAGGAAAACCTCAATTTAAAGAAGAATGATATTTTGCTGCTACAAAATTTGAAATTTGAAATAATATTAGTAATCATAATAATAAAATGAACTTAAATAGAGAAGATCTAAATATCATTATTTAAAAATAAAATAGAAATATAATATATACATATTTATATTAAATGAAAGAAGATAAAAATATTAATAATAAAAATATAGTATTATCATAATTTTCTTTTAGTAAGATCTTTATCTAAAAGATGTAATAACTAATATTGTAATTCTTTACTAATTATTTTTGGTAGAGTGAATTTTAGAATTTGTGCCAACATAATTTCTTCATCATTTTTACCTGGAAAGGGTACTTTTCCACAAAGAATTTAATACAGTAAAACTCCTAGAGCCCAAATATCAGCTTTTTTTCCATCATAAGGCTTTTTTTGAAAGATTTCTGGTGCCATATATGCAGGAGTACCACAAAAATCTGAGCATAATTAATTTTCTGATGCAAGTCCGAAATCGATTAGTTTAACTTATTAATTAATTATCATAATGTTATCTGATTTTAAATCTCTATGAAAGATATTTTTGGAATGCAAATATTTAATGCCTTCTCGAATTTATATATATATTTGTTTGGCTTCTTTATCTTATAATCTTCTATTTGGTTAATCTTTTTAATTGATTTTTAAACTTACTTTTTAAATAATTTGTTAATGTTTGTCCATCAATTAATTCTAAAACTATTGTATTCTTATATATTCCAAGAAATTTAACAATATTTTCATGATCTAATTTTCTCAATATCTCTGTCTCCTTAAATAATAGTTTTTTTTATTCTGATTGTAATAGATTAGAATTATACTTTTTAATTGCTACCTAAACTATGGTATTTATTATTTTTACTTAAGAATCAGTCATTCTATCATAAGCTTTAAAAACAGTTGCAAATGCTCCAACAGCCAATTTAGATAAAATTTGATATCTTTCAAATTTAATAGGTTTATTTGATTCTTCAGTCTTACAAACAGTATAGCTTCTTTAAAATTTCATTGATTGAATAGTATTTAATAAAGTCTGTTTCTTTTCAACAATTTATGTTGCTTATTATAAAATTTATTATGGATTTTAAGGTTTTCTTCTAAAGGCTGATTATACCCTTTAAGGTTTATTAGGTGTAGGACAAATAATCGGTTTTTAGAAAGTGAATTTATTGAAGAGATCCTCAACAATTTAATCAAGAGTTTACATAAATGTTATTATATTGATAATTTAATAAATCAAGATAAGAGTCTCTTGTCTGAAGTAAAGAGATTTTATTTTAATATTCCAATCTAAAATTCAAACTACCATGCTTTGATCTTTAAGACTTAACTTGATTAAGCTGCTTTATAATAATGAAATATTATATAACACAAGGCAGTCTAATTATAATTAAGAATATTTTACCTTTAAAATCATATTAAATATGCAAAACACTATAGTTATTCTGACAATAGGATCTCCTGCTTCTCCCCAAGTGGGTAAAGTTTTATCTGTACCACTCCACCAATTCTATTATAATATTAGTACAAAATTACTTTGTATATTGCTATCCAAAAAATATCTAAAACTATGCTAAAAACTGTTATTGCCCCTACAATTTTTAAGTATTCTGGAGTAAAGCAATCTCTACTGATAATCAACAAGTACAAAATCCCTAATAAAATCTATAAGACTATAATCTGAAGTTTACATCCACATAGGCTGGTCTTGCAAAGCATTAGAACATGGATAACACAATCATCAGAAGATACAAGATGAATCCATAATATATTTCATCACTAAGTTCTTCTGATGCTTCTCCCTGAAATTGTGGTTGAATATTATCTTAATTCTATCTTTAAGATTATTAAGGTGGTGTAGGCTTATATATTTATGGTTAGTTTTATTATTATTAATAAAGCAGAGCAGAATTAGTTTGCACTTTTGAAGATGTCTATGGTTTCAAAGAGGATTAAAGATTCTATCTTTAGTTTTTATCCATAAAAGGTTATTAAACTACAAATAAATCTCTTTTGTAATCTTCAATATCATTATAATGTTATTAAATTTCAGCTTCGAATTTTGAGATCAGTTCTTAGTAATATTTTAGCTAAATATTCATTAAGTATATACTTTATTATGAATCCATTAAATCTCAAATTAAATAGTTGGAGCAGCAAATTATTATTTATCATTTTATAATTGTAGTTGGAGAGATTGGACTTATTAATCTTATAATTTAACTAAATCTAATTTAGCTTGTCCAACTAATGATTTCTTTTAGTTTCTATCTTAGATCAATAAACTCAGAGTTACATTCTCTCTTCCAGTTTTAATTTAGCTATATATAAATAAAATTTATTTTTACAATCCTAATTGCTCATTAAATATTGGATAAAACTTATCTCCTCCACTTTATTAAGCTATTTATTCATTATTATCAACTGATATTGATACATAACTTTAAATAAAATCTTAAACTGTTATTCCTGAGGCTGACTTTATTATTAAATTAAGTGATGAATCAGTGTCTATACCATATTAATTTTATTATTGAGTGTCTTCAATATAAAATATAAATACATTGTATTTCTTATACTTGTCTTTAACAATCTCTTGATTCCTCAACCAACTACTAAATTTATTTTTCGGTATCATTAATCTTTTTCTTTAACATAGCATCAGCAGATATCAAAATCTGTGAAAATTCTTCAATTTAAACTTATCCTCTTTAATTTGGAGTACATTGTTCATAAATTTAAGTGGCTACATCTCTATCATAAGCTTAGCCTGTCTATGTTGATTATTCTTAAATTTTAATATACTAATTGATCTAAAGCTTAATATATCTAATCAGGTTAGTAAGCTTGTCCTTAATTTAATCCGACTCTCTAAAATGCTCCTAATACTTAGATAGCATTAGGTTAGAATTGCAACGACATATTTTAAATTAATTATATAATTTTTATAATTTGTATCATAGAGTTTGAGCTGATGTTGTAATTCAAATAATTAAATTTATGTTTAGTTATTCATTCAATTAATACTATCAATCTTAAATTTATTAAATTTAAATACAAATAAACTACATTAGAAATAAATAGAGATATTAAATCAATAACTCTATTTATCCTTATTTGAAAAGTAATAATTGAATATTAATATTGTCTCTATTCATTTTTTAAGCAAATAGATTTTATATGATTAAATATTATATAAATATTCAAATATTTAATTATTGAAAGCATAGTTAGAGTCACAAACAGAATTTAAATAATTCATTTAATATGTTATAGTATTTTACTTACAAATATATTAACTTAATTGTAATTTTATAAACTAAACACATATATATTTTTAATAAATTTTACATCATTTTGAACTAATAAATAGGAATATATATATAGATTGATAATTGATTAGTTCAATATTTCAATATATTAAAAATAATTCTAAAATAAATAAATGTTACACATAATTGATATAATTTTTAGTATATAATTAAAAATAATTGAATATTTTTGGAGGGGGTAGTTAAATTCGGTAATATAAATTGTGGTAATTCATGAATCACACTTTAATTTAAAAAATAATATCCAATTAGGCACATGAATCACACCACTAAAATTAAGAAATTGCCTGTTACAGTACTTTGCGGTTTTTTAGGATCAGGAAAGACAACTTTAATGAATTATATTCTTAAATAGCGCCATGATTATAGAATAGCTGTTATCGTAAATGACATGGGAGAGATCAATGTCGATTCGAATTTAATAAAGGAAGGAAAGTTTAGTGTGAAAAAAACAAAAGAAAAACTTGTTGAAATGTCAAATGGATGTATATGTTGTACATTGAGGTATATATAATATATATTGTATTAGGGAAGATTTAATCAAACATATATCGAAGATAGCCAAGTCTGGGAAGTTTGATTATATGTTGATTGAGAGTACAGGAATAGCTGAGCCTTTACCAATAGCCTAAGCATTTTATTTTGAAAATGAAGAGATGAGAAAGAAGGGTTAGATGTTGAAGAAGTTTGCTAGACTTGATACAATGGTTACTATGGTATCTTTTATTATTTATTATTTAGATTGATGCTTTGAATTTCTTAGATTAATTGTAATCAGATAAATTAGGTGAGGAAATGAATGTAGATAACAAATAGATGGATTAAATTCCATTATCATAATTGTTATTGGATCAAGTGGAATTTGCTAATGTTATAATATTAAATAAAACAGATCTTGTGGATTAAGAAAGAAAAGAATTTATATTAAATCTACTTAAAAAATTGAATCCTAATGCTAAGGTTATTGAATCTGTTTAAGGATAAATAGATTTAAAAGAAATCATAAATACTAAATTATTCAATTTTGAAGAAGCCTCTACAACTGGAAAGTGGATTGCTGAACTTTAAAAGCCAATTCATAAAAGTGAAATTGAAGAATATGGAATCTAATCATGTGCTTTCAAATCAAGAAGAGCCTTCCATCCTGAGAGACTATTTTAACTTATAGAAAGAAATAATACAGAAGAAGTCTCCTTTTGGAATTCAATAATAAGATGTAAAGGATATATGTGGATTGCAAGTTGGGAAAGATTAAATATTCATATACATAAGGCTGGAACCTAATTGACATATCATCCTGGTTCATTTTGGTGGATATCTATACCTAAAAAGGTTTGGGCTGATACAAAAGAAGAAGTTGATGTAAATTATATTATTATATTAATAGGCTATTTGGGATGGACTTAAATAGAATTGGTTACCTGAACCTATTGGAGATAGAAGATAAGAACTTGTGTTTATTGGATAAAATTTACCAAAATAAGAAATTTTAGATGCATTTGAAAGTTGTTTATTAAGTGAATAAGAAATGATTTCATTTTTATAGAATGGATGGGATAATACAAATGATCCATTTCCAAAAGATTGGGGAAAATTAGTAAAAGAATTTGAAGATCTTGGAGAATTAAGAGGTAATGAAGGAGAATGGGAAGATGTATGGGATGAAGAAGGAGAAATGTAAGAAGAACATTAAGAAGATGTATCAATGTAAGAGGAAGTTTAATAATAATAATTGATAAATTGATTAAATTTATTATGTCTTAATATATTATGATCATTAAATAATAATTATTTAAAGACTATATTAGTTTAATTTATAATTAAAGTATTTTCTATTTGTTAAAATTTTAATTAATGAATAATCCAGAAGTAATATATGCTAATCTAACAGGAGATTCAGAGCGTAACAATTTATCTTTATGAAATAGCTTACGTTACTGATAGTTTATGTGTAAATTGTGAATAACAAGGTAAAACAACAATTTTATTAACAAAAATACCTATGTTTTCAAATATTATTATTATTTCTTTTGATTGTGAACAATGTGGATATAAAAACAATGAAGTTTAATTTGGTGGGGAAATCAAAGACAAAGGAATTAAATTGAGTTTAAAAGTTACTGAACCTTAAGTAATAATTATTTATAATTTTAGGATCTTCAAAGATAGATCATTCGATCAGAGTTCTGTAAAGCTATGATTCCAGAATTAGAATTCGAAATGCCATCTAATAAGAAAAGTAGTATCAATACTTTAGAAGGATTCCTTACAAATATTATTGATGACTTATCGCATGATTAATCAATTAGAAAGTATACTTAAGTTTAAGTATATGATCGAATTGAATACATAATTGAAAAATTAAAAGAATTTAAAGATGGTTAAGGATTACCCTTTAATTGGATAATGGAAGACCCTTCAGGAAATAGTTTCATTTAAAATCTAAATGAACTTTAAGATGATCCTTAACTTAAAATTTAAAATTACATAAGAACAATAGAAGAGTTGGAAGATATGGGATACAGTGCTGAAAATTAAAAATAAGAGAATTAACAATTAAAATAATAATAATAAGTAATAACTGACCCAATTCATTAAGGTACTGAATAAATTTAAGCTGGTGGATAAAATTTCAATTAATCAATAGAAGATTCTGTAAAAAATGAATCTATCAATATTCCAACACCATGTAATGTTTGTAAGGAAATGGGAGAAAACAAAATGTGTACAGTTACTATTCCACATTTTAAGGAAATTCTTATTATGAGTTTTAATTGTGGATTTTGTGGATTCAAAGATACAGAAGTTAAAGCAACAGGTGAGATTAGTAAATAAGGTAAAATAATAGAATTGAAATTTGAAAATGAAAATGATTTATGTAGAGATGTATTTAAATCAGACACTGCAAAATTGATAATTCCTGAAATTGAATTAGAATTAGGAACAGGTACATTAGGTGGAGTATATTCAAATGTTGAGGGATTATTAGAATAAATACTTACACGTTTAAGAGATACTGTATATATTATAATTTATAAGTAGAATCCATTCGTTGGTGATAGTGCTGATGATGATTATAAAAAAAAGATGGAATTATTCTTTTTGAAATTAGAAGAATTCAAATCAGGAAATTCTAAATTTACTTTAATAATAAGAGATTTAGTTGAAAATAGTTTCATTCAAAATCCTTTTTATCCAAAAGAAGACAATTAAGTTAAAATAACTTTGTTTGATAGAACTCCAGAAGACAATGATGAATTGGGAATAGATACAATGAAAACAGAAAATTATCAGAATTGATCAAAAATTTATTATTTATTTTAATGACTATTTGATAAGAATAAGCAATCATTTAAATATTTACTATTTAATTCTGATGACTATTTGATAGAGTTTATAACTATATCTAAAATGAAATCATAAATTTATTTATTCAAACAACCAAAATAAAACTTATATGGATAAGAAAAGTTTAAATATTAATGAAGAAATCCTCTCTTAAATAAATTTAAATAATCAAGATCTCAATTCAGCCATTAAAGAATAATTTGATGATGATGGTGTAGAATTCACTAATTTATGTAATTAATGTGGTTCAGATGGAATCAATAAGATGTGTAAAATCACTATTCCTTTTGTTAGAGATCTTATTATCATGTCTTTCACTTGTAATGAATGTGGGTATAGGGATACAGAAATCAAAGGAGCTAATGGTATTACTCCATAAGGAAAAATGTTTAGATTATATGTTAATAGTTAAAATGATTTGAAGAGAAATGTATTTAAATCTGAAACAGCAAGCTTACAAATTCCTGAAATTGAATTAGAAATGTGTACTGGTACTTTAGGAGCTGTATTTACTACAACCTAAGGCATCATCTCTAAGGTTTTAGATCATTTAAGGGATAAAACACCTATCTATAATTGTGATGATCCATATCGTGATAATAAATTACAAAAGGTTTTCGATTAATTATAGGCTTTTCATGATGGGACTCAAAGTTTTACACTTATCATCAGAGATTTGATAGATAGTAGCTTTGTTTCCAATGTTGGAGAACCTAATACAGATTATAATTTATAAGTTATTACTTTTGATAGAACAGAGGAAGACAATGATGAATTAGGAATAGATACTATGAATACTGAAAATTACTTTTGATTAATTACAATATATTCATTTCCACCCATACATATTTAAATGCACTTAATCCATTCAAAAATGTTTTCCTAAGTATTAACTGAAGAGTTCATAAACTAGAAATGTTATACTATTTGTAGGTAATACTCTTATTAAATCTGGTATTAATCCTTTGTAGAATCCTCCAATAGAATCTTATTCATATATAACTCTACAAATATCAATAATTCTAACTCTTGATCTGAGACCACTCTTATATACAGTTTTATTATCATGTAATCTAGTTCGTATAACCACATGAGGATAGGTTACTAAAACAGCGATTGCTATATATTAATGTATTTAAGAGAAATTACACTTTGATAATATAGAGGCTTTAAGAATATCAACTGGTAAAAGCTAACTGTTCTAATCTGTATAATTTTATTTTAATCTCTCGTAAATTGGAAATTATACTGCTACATGAGATAGACCTAATACTGTAGCTCCAAGACCTTTATATAAAGCAAGGAAGCCTTCCTAAAATCATAGTTAATTCTTTACTTCTTTATATAAAGTAATCAATCCTCTAAAAACAGATGTATATTTTGGATGATTATGATCATGCAAGTATTACGTTTGCATTCTAGTTCTGATTAACTTTTAATAAGAGTTTATTGCATTAATATACCCATAAAGGATTTGTAATTAAATCACAAACAAATCCTGTGATGATGGTTGCCAAAAGGTGATTCTAAAAACCAGTTATTTCATATGAAATTTCTAATTTTTCCTTGTTCCATTTATAAAGAGGAAAGAAAAGCGAATGAAATATGGGATTAGCAATAGCTGTTGCTCTATATCCTTTAATATGATATTGAATGAATTCTTACCTTTGTAATAACCTGCAAGACCCTCTTCTTTATAGATAACACAGAGAGTGTTAATGAAACCTTGATATTTATTAATAGATTTAGTAGCATTCTTAAAATTGTTAATTAATTACTTAGAGATTTAATCTGCTTCTTGCTACTTCTAAAGGATGGCATACAGTTACACTTATGAATCCTCCAATTAACCCAGCAATAAAATGATGCCAATATAATTTTTTGTTTTATTCTTTATTCATTTTATTTTAATAATATTTACATTCAAAATAGATGAATATCAATAGAATTATTTTGATAACATCCTAGTAATAAAGTAGTATATAAATAACTATAATAAACTTGAAATATATTTAAATAATTGGAATTCATAGTAAATCGATTAAGAATTTACGAAGGTTTTTATTAAAACATAAATGTTTGAATCTTTAAAACATATATATATAAATCTTTTCAATAAATAAAAATTCAAAAAATTTCACAACAACTCTTTTTATTCATATCTTTAGATTATTTATAGAACATTTTTGCTCCAGCTGATAAATCATTACTCTTAGCAACTAATTAATCCAAATCACCCTATCTTTCCAATAGTTTTTTTATATTTTCATGTAATATGATATTAGTTTCATCAACTTTTGTTTATGCAAGTAACACTTTATCAACATTCTTTGGATCCTAATATTCTTAGAATAACTTTATGTTAACTTCAAATTAGTACTTATTTAATTTCTGGAACTTCTATGCTTTCATCTTCTTTATATTTTTTCCAATCATCTCCTACTTTTTTCTAAAAAGCTTGTAAAACTGCATTTAAAAATGCAAATGCTATTCTTTTAGGATAATCCTAATCGCAAAATGCATAAGCTCCTAATTTATCATTTCCATAACTCATTTAAATATGACAATATTTATCTTCATGCATTACTGAATGTCTTCAAATCAATTTGATTAATTACCTAGTTCCTTTGTCAAGTCCAATTACTGATTCTCTACAAACAAACTTCATTGAATCCTTTACAGTATTTCTATAGAATATTCCTACTGAATTTAATTCATAATATCTTGTTAGCATAATAACTTTCTTTTCAACGGGATTATATACAGCAATTAACACAGCTATTAATTACATTTTATTTTAATAATATATTATAATATATAAGTTAAGTAATTTAAATAATAATAAATCATTATATTTATGGTACTAAAGAAAATTTAAAAGTAAATTCATTATTAGCTTGTATAATATCTAAATGATTATAAACTCCAAACTTAGAGAGAATTAATTAAGTGATACTTATATTTAGTAGTAAATTTATAGGAATCTAAAACTATTATGTTAAATAACTAATTCTTTCTAAGAGTGATTAATGAATAGTATTTTTATGAAAAAATCCTTTAGGAGATTTGACCCAATTAGTTTGTAAGATTTCTAATATCTTTGTTTAAATAATTTTATCCTTCTCTTTTATTTTAATAGAGAAAAATATTTCATTATTTTAATTCTCTATAAGTATTTGTAGAATTTTAACATCTTTAAAGATATGTTAAATTATGTAAAAGCAAGAAATTAATAATTGTTAAATTATGGTAATATCATGAGTAAATGACTTTTTAAGTATTAAATTCTAAGAATCAAGTCCAATTAGTGGATCAAGTACAGTTTATAATGAAACTTGAGTGATATCTGTTAATTTAAGACTATTTGATTTATGTTAAAAAATGATTTAAATATTCTGTATGAAATTATGATTAAAATAGAATTTCTAATAGGGAAATCTTTATTTAATAGATATTTGATTAAATTTAGTTATCATTTTAATTAAAAAAGATGATTATTCATTTGCTGTTTCAGTTATATTTTAAAGTATACTCCATAAAACTTAGGTTTAATTATAAAAATATTTTTTTTTAGGATCAATGATCAATAAACATTATAGTTTATTATTAAATACACATCTGAGTATTTTGACATTATAAAATTTTTATGTTTATTAATGTTGAACAGTATATTTATAAGTTTTAAAAGTATCAGCAAATTCTTATGTATGAATTAAGAATCTCCTTAAAGTTTTTTCCATATTAATATGAATTAAATTTGAGACACTATCTTCAGGATCATTACTGGAAGTTACAATCAACTAAAACATATGAAAAATATTTATACTTATCTCAATAATTATCGCAAATTTTCACCATCTTTCAATCTAAATAAAATAGATGAAAATTTATTTTCCTTTTCAAGTTACAATTAATCCTATTTCTTATCATGTGATACAAGCAAAATTGAACTTGACAAGACTTTCGATAATAATTATTCCCATTTTTCTTATTGACAACTCTAAAAATATTGTTCTTTTTTAGTTTTTTCATAATTGTACTTAATTGCAATCATATTCATGGCCAAAAAAACAAAAAGAAATATATTTATAATTCCATCTTTAATATCTATATTATCTTAATATAAATGAACTCCAATAATAACTATCAGCAAAAAGGTTTAATAAATGAAATTAGCACTTAAAAGATAAACATTAAAATGTAAATATCCACATTAAAATCCATAATACCAAGATTAATCTAAGGTTGGATTAGAAGTACCTTCAAATAATTAAGGTATTTTAAAAGCACAAAGTAAAAACACTTGATAAATAGTTACAATCAAATTTATTAAATGAGGCTTTCTTTACAGTATTTTCCATAGTATCAAAATAATAATAATAGATATTCCACTAAGTATAGAATAAGGAATAGAATCTCGTAAGATAAATTTTGTAGTATTTAGAATACAAAATGACTAAGAGTACAAATCGATTAATTACAACTGAATAGATGGTGAAGTATGTTACTTCCCTAAGTTTAGATTATTTGGAATAGTTTTCGTATTGTTCAGCTTAATCCTTAAATAGAAATTCAAGAGTGTACTTATTGAGCATTATTAATTATCAATATTATAATCACTCTTATCAGTAATCTAAATGTTTAGATTGATTTAAATATCCTATTTTTGTTAATTTCAATTGAAATCTAAATCTAAATCAAAGATAATATCAAATATAATGTTAAAATCATACAAATAATAATGTAATATTAATAATTTATTAATACTTCACAATTTTGTATTCTTGGTCACATCATGGAATGCTTCAGCAACATACTTAACATTTCCTTCATTTAATCCTGCAATTGATATTCTTCCACTACTTAATAAATAGATATGATATTTAGCAATCAATTCTTTTACATGATCTGGACCAACACCCTAAAAAATATGAATTAAATTATTACAGTAAATGCAAACATACCAATTTATTTGGATATGTGTGACCAATCATGAGGAGAACCTAGATTCTTTAAAGTTTCAGCTAAACTTACTCTCATTAATTAAATTCTAGTTGCCATCATTTTAACTTCTGATAACCATAATTAATTAAGTTCTGGTGTATTGAGAATGATATCAGCTACTCTAGCACCATGAAGTGGTGGACTTGACCATAATGGTCTAGCTAACAATTTCAATTATGAAACAACTTTCTCTTTTTCTTATTAATTAGCACATACAAAACTAAGACATCCTGTTCTTTACCCATATAATCCCATATTTTTAGCAAATGATTATCCTAAAACAATAGAAACTCCTTAATTTGTAAATAATCTAACTGCTTCAGCATCTTTATTTACATCTCCACTTGTGAAACCTTAATAAGCCATATCAAAAAATGGAAGGAAATTCTTCTTTTTAGTCAAATCTAATAATTATGTCCATTAAGCTGATGTCAAATCACAACCAGTTGGATTATGAGCACAAGCATGGAATAAGATAACTGATCCATTTTAAGCCTTATTCAAATCTTCTACTAATCCTGAAAAATCAACTCCACGTGTTTTTGGATCAAAATAACGATATTCTAAAATTTCTAATCCTGCCATTCTAGCAATATTATGATGATTTGGCCATGTTGGATTTGGCATATATACTTTTGTACCTTAAGGTAAGAATTTCTTAGCAAATTCAAATCCAAGTCTAACTGCACCTGTTCCACTCAATACTTAACATCCTGCAATACTTTTTCCATTTTAAGCATAATAAGCATCTCCATAACCTAATTTTATAGAAGCATCAATAAATGATTGAAGTCCTTCAACTGGAAGATATTCATTATCTAATTTCTTCTCCTTTATTATTTATTCAGCCTATTATATATTAATTTAGTTACTCTTTTAACTGACTCAAGTACAACTGNATTAATACTTCACAATTTTGTATTCTTGGTCACATCATGGAATGCTTCAGCAACATACTTAACATTTCCTTCATTTAATCCTGCAATTGATATTCTTCCACTACTTAATAAATAGATATGATATTTAGCAATCAATTCTTTTACATGATCTGGACCAACACCCTAAAAAATATGAATTAAATTATTACAGTAAATGCAAACATACCAATTTATTTGGATATGTGTGACCAATCATGAGGAGAACCTAGATTCTTTAAAGTTTCAGCTAAACTTACTCTCATTAATTAAATTCTAGTTGCCATCATTTTAACTTCTGATAACCATAATTAATTAAGTTCTGGTGTATTGAGAATGATATCAGCTACTCTAGCACCATGAAGTGGTGGACTTGACCATAATGGTCTAGCTAACAATTTCAATTATGAAACAACTTTCTCTTTTTCTTATTAATTAGCACATACAAAACTAAGACATCCTGTTCTTTACCCATATAATCCCATATTTTTAGCAAATGATTATCCTAAAACAATAGAAACTCCTTAATTTGTAAATAATCTAACTGCTTCAGCATCTTTATTTACATCTCCACTTGTGAAACCTTAATAAGCCATATCAAAAAATGGAAGGAAATTCTTCTTTTTAGTCAAATCTAATAATTATGTCCATTAAGCTGATGTCAAATCACAACCAGTTGGATTATGAGCACAAGCATGGAATAAGATAACTGATCCATTTTAAGCCTTATTCAAATCTTCTACTAATCCTGAAAAATCAACTCCACGTGTTTTTGGATCAAAATAACGATATTCTAAAATTTCTAATCCTGCCATTCTAGCAATATTATGATGATTTGGCCATGTTGGATTTGGCATATATACTTTTGTACCTTAAGGTAAGAATTTCTTAGCAAATTCAAATCCAAGTCTAACTGCACCTGTTCCACTCAATACTTAACATCCTGCAATACTTTTTCCATTTTAAGCATAATAAGCATCTCCATAACCTAATTTTATAGAAGCATCAATAAATGATTGAAGTCCTTCAACTGGAAGATATTCATTATCTAATTTCTTCTCCTTTATTATTTATTCAGCCTATTATATATTAATTTAGTTACTCTTTTAACTGACTCAAGTACAACTGGCTTTCCATCATTATCACGATAAGCTCCTATACTTAAATTTACTTTTTAAGTGCTTGGATCAGCCTTGAATTAAGCAGCTACTCCCAAAATAGGATCAGCTGGTCCCATAGGTACTTAAGACCNCAACACCCTAAAAAATATGAATTAAATTATTACAGTAAATGCAAACATACCAATTTATTTGGATATGTGTGACCAATCATGAGGAGAACCTAGATTCTTTAAAGTTTCAGCTAAACTTACTCTCATTAATTAAATTCTAGTTGCCATCATTTTAACTTCTGATAACCATAATTAATTAAGTTCTGGTGTATTGAGAATGATATCAGCTACTCTAGCACCATGAAGTGGTGGACTTGACCATAATGGTCTAGCTAACAATTTCAATTATGAAACAACTTTCTCTTTTTCTTATTAATTAGCACATACAAAACTAAGACATCCTGTTCTTTACCCATATAATCCCATATTTTTAGCAAATGATTATCCTAAAACAATAGAAACTCCTTAATTTGTAAATAATCTAACTGCTTCAGCATCTTTATTTACATCTCCACTTGTGAAACCTTAATAAGCCATATCAAAAAATGGAAGGAAATTCTTCTTTTTAGTCAAATCTAATAATTATGTCCATTAAGCTGATGTCAAATCACAACCAGTTGGATTATGAGCACAAGCATGGAATAAGATAACTGATCCATTTTAAGCCTTATTCAAATCTTCTACTAATCCTGAAAAATCAACTCCACGTGTTTTTGGATCAAAATAACGATATTCTAAAATTTCTAATCCTGCCATTCTAGCAATATTATGATGATTTGGCCATGTTGGATTTGGCATATATACTTTTGTACCTTAAGGTAAGAATTTCTTAGCAAATTCAAATCCAAGTCTAACTGCACCTGTTCCACTCAATACTTAACATCCTGCAATACTTTTTCCATTTTAAGCATAATAAGCATCTCCATAACCTAATTTTATAGAAGCATCAATAAATGATTGAAGTCCTTCAACTGGAAGATATTCATTATCTAATTTCTTCTCCTTTATTATTTATTCAGCCTATTATATATTAATTTAGTTACTCTTTTAACTGACTCAAGTACAACTGGCTTTCCATCATTATCACGATAAGCTCCTATACTTAAATTTACTTTTTAAGTGCTTGGATCAGCCTTGAATTAAGCAGCTACTCCCAAAATAGGATCAGCTGGTCCCATAGGTACTTAAGACCATACAGAAAAGTATCTCAAAGCTCTTAAACACTACATGTTGAATATCTTTGAATAAATTAATTAATTCTTATAAAAAGTATGTCATATTAATATATAATACGGATCTTTTTTATTTTAATCACATAATATAAATTAATAATATACTACTATTATAACTCAATTATTGTTTAATATAAACAAAAACAAAATAAATATTGTATATATTCATAATTGCATAATAAGTTTTAAAATGATATTATGAATTCAGAAATTAAGAATTAATTAATTCTAATATACCAATATAAATTCAAATTCATGATTGTTTAGCTTTCCATGTATCGAAAGATTGGCTTCCTTTTTTGATTTATGCATCTAAATGGTAAAATAATCCTGGAAAAGCAGAATAAGCTTGGGCTTTGGCAAATAATTTTTCTGCTTCATCAACTGATGATGCTTAATCCTCCAACATTGAACCTATAAATTTGTGTGTTAATATCTCTTCATGTTATTATGCCTATTTTCCTATCTAATCAAGCAAAGAATAATTCAAATGCTCTCTTGCTAAGTAGGCTTCAAAATAATCTCCAGGTTTTTCAAAATGAATCTTCATATTTTAGAAAGCTGTTTATTATGGATCAATAGTCACTTGAACACCTCTTACATTTAAGTAATCAAATATCTAAACACTATGTTTTCTTTCCTCTTCACTTTCCGCTTTGAAAAATTTTCCAATTCCTTCAAAATTGTTATTATCAAACCAATAAGCATATTAAAGATATAAGAAACTAGATTATAACTCTACATGGGCTTATCTTGATAATAAATTAATTATTTCCTTATTTGTTAATTCTGCTAGTTTTTTCATTCACTTTAATTAATTATTTATGATTTGATTTTTAGTTATATTCATTTATCAATTTTTAATCCAATATATATTGAATTATAATATTTATCAAATAGGATTTATCCAACATCCTGGTCCCAATAATTCATTACAATTAGATATGAAACCTTTATCATAGTGTTCTTGTTATTTTTCAAAATATTCAACATTTGTTTGATTATTTATTATTAATCTTTATTTAAATATATTTCTACTTGAAATGAAATCCTAAACAGCAAAATACTCCAATCATAAGTGCAAGGCTTGAAAGAACTGTAAAAATTATAAAATATGTATCAATCTAACCAGTAGGAGGAACTTTTATAACTTTAGTTAAAAAAACAAAAAAGTAAAAAATTAAAGTTAGGGCTCTAAATATTTATATTAAATTACTCAAATAAAAAAGCAAGCAAAAAAAATATTTGTAATTCTTCTACCCTATACAATTATTTAACCAAAAAGAATGATTACTCATTCTTAATATGCATTTATTACAAGCTGCACAATGATGACATCGTAATGGTTTCTTAATTTAACAATGTTTACAAATCTTTCTCCATTCAACCAAAGGGTCATCTTCTGTATATTAATATGTAGGTGTTCCTGGTTATGTAGTGATTGTTTTAAAAAATAAATATATCACAACCAACAATAATAAATGATGTAAAATCATCAATACAATTTCTGTTGCTTCTGGATTTATGAAAATCTATTTTTAAATGTTAAGTTTACATAAATCATCATTATTTCCATGTATGCAATCACAAAAATCACTAAATAAATTGGGGCCCAAACACATATTTAATTAAAATTCATAAGAATTATGATGAATATAAATTAAAAACTCTACACTTTTTTTTGTTTGATTAGAGGTTATTATTAACTTCTTTAAAGATTTGCTCATAATCTAACTATATATACTAAATTCAATTCATAAAACAAAAATTCTTCTTTACTTCCTATTTAATATTGATAATTGATAAAATAAATAAGTTTAAATGCCAAAACTATATTATTAATATTGAATAATCATATAAATTTTATATAATTCTAAAAAAAAAGTAAAAATAAATAATTTTTAATTGGTTTAATTAATTAAATGTATAGACTATCTTTATTATTAATTCTTTTTTTTTCAGAATATTCGTAGAAGTAAAAAAACTATTATATGATAATTAAATATATATCCATATGTTTTAGAGAGAGATCACTATTGTGAATTACTAAAGCATTTATCAATCATTATGATATTATTTAAGAATATTTAAGAATACATTGATAATATTATTTAAGCAATGTGATGAATAATATTTGGATACTTTTTACTAATACTTTTTATATTATTATTCTAAAGAATACAATCATTAATTCAACAATTTTTCGATTTCTTGTTTCATCTCTTTTGGTTTGACATCTGGATTATAAAATCTGACTACTTAACCCTATGAATTTAGTAAGAATTTTCCGAAATTCCATGGTACTTCTTTTGCTTCATTAGAACTGACTTTTAATGAACTGTTTAATCTCAAATATCTATAAACTTCATGAGTATTTTAACCATTCACTTCAATTTTTCTTTAATATTTTTAAATCATTACTAAAACAATGGGAAGGATACTCCATACTTAGAGAGAACAAATTCTTTGATTTCAGGTTCAGGTTTGGATTCTTAACCCATAAATTAATTACATGGAAATCCTAAGATTTCTAAACCTTAAGCACTAAAATATTATTCTTTGATACTTATATGTTTTATAAAGTTCAACAAGCTCACTGTAATTTGAAGATGTTAATCCACAAGAACAAGCAACATTCACACAAATGTAAGCTTTTTTGCCTTTGAATTAAGATAATTAAGTTTTCTATCCATCTATATTATTTAGTTCAAATTCAAAGAATGATTTTGTTGGTGGTTGAAGTTTATCTACTCCTTTCTTAAAAAATAATGCTCCCATTTAAAAATTTCTGAGTTCTTAAAATTAAATTAATAAATTTAAGAGAAATTTTTGCAAGTATTTATAGCTTTAATTAATGATGCAAAATTTATTGTCATGACGATTTAACATCAACGTATTATAGAATACAATATATAAATATATACAATAATAATTGTTAGTTTCCTTAATTATTGTTTTATTAATTTAATTCCATCATAAAGTACTATGGAAATCAATCTAAGATTCATTGTAGAATTTAGAACTTTATATCATTTTTCTTAATGTTTTATCTATTAATATATGTGTTTAGTCACAAAAAATTAGAAAAATTATGTTTAGAACTATAAATAGATATAAAAATAAAAATATTTAAAAAATATATTATCTCACTAATTCAATAGACCTTCTTACTCATCATCAGCTGCTTATCTTTTAATTAAATCTTTTTCCATTTTTCTTAGTTATTAAATTTATTGATCTATCATTTACTAAGCTTTAGTTCCAAGAGGATGATTTGGTATATCTGACACATTTATGTATTTATTTGTTGCCCAATTTCCATCTCCTTTACTAGTAAACAGTGGTTTAAGGAAAGAAATCCAATTATAGAGAAATCCTTTGTCAAAGGGATTTCCAAACATTCCCCTTTCATTAGCCCATAAATAGGAATATCTTCTCCATTATCCTAATTCTTATGGAGTTATGTTATAAGAAATCTAAAATATAATTAATAATTATATACTCTTAATAAACACAATAAATATTATTGACCAAAATAATAAAATTGGTGGACATTAATCACTATAATGAGTAAATCAAAATATGATTTTTCTTGTATTCTTTCTACTAATGTGAATTATCTAAGTATAGTAAAACAATAGAAGGTCCAAAAAAATATATACATAACTAGGAATGGATAATTGAATACACCAATACATGTATTTAATTACATTGAATGAAATTCCCATCTTATAATACATCTATATTAATAAAATTAGTTAGATACTTTTGACAATATAGACAATGTTATGATCGAACAACTTTAGGAATTGAACACAAAACACAAATATTTCTATTCATTTTAGAGAGAGTGAATAGTTCTGGTTATGTATCTAATAATTCTTTGAAATCAGCTTGTTTGAATTAGCCTGCAGGACATAATATAAGTATGAAGTAAGTAAATAATATTGCATATATGATATACAAAATGTAATTCTAAATGAATAATTTTTTAGTGATACCAATTCAGGATAAGTTTCATAATTTAAATAGAGTATAAGTCCATGAACAATGAAATAATAGATGGAAAGACCTCCAAATAATTTTCTTAATATATTGTCTGGTAAAACTTAATTAAGAAATCCATTTATTTTGTAAATTGGTGTCAAGAGAGTCTAGCTATATGATAGTTGGATATTATTACTAAATCAATATATAAAAATAATAGCCTTAAGCCATCATAGGTAATTACATAAAGATTTGCATAGCATAATCACCATTAAGTATAGCATACCAAATAAAGACTTTCATTTCTTTTGGAACATTTGCAAATGGATTATATGAATGTTAATGATGATGATGATGTTCATGCTAATGATTATGTTAATGTTAATGATTATGATTGCAACATTCTTTTTTCTTGCTTTCTTATTATTTTATATTGATTGGAACATGGGCTGGATTATCCATATCCATATTTGAACTCATGGACTGCATAGAAATTTAATAAATTAAATTTTATGGATCTTTGTGTTTTTGGGGTTGATGATGGTTATGCTGAAGCCATAATCAGAGGATTAAGAGCAAGTTTCTTAACTGAAGCTCAATACTAATAGATGAAGAATTGTGCTTCAATTCCAGAATTAAAGTCTTTCTTAGAAGAAACAGATTATTAAGTAAACATGACAATTATTAATATAGAATTGTTTATAAGCTGATAATCCTTAAATACCTACATCCATTTTAAGATAGAGACTCAAAAAGAAATTGGCTGATGAATTTGAGTATATTGAAGCTCAATCCACTGGAACACTTACAAAATACTTATTTCATTTGAGGTATGATTTATTAATTCATTATAAAAGATGTCGTTTTATGATTGATAATGTAGTCAATATGATAGAAGGATTAAAGAATAAAATTGATATTGAAATACTTTTGAGTAATATTGATCCTTTAGGTTGGTTCCCTGAAATCAAAAATATTAAAGTTCTTGAAGGAGATGATTATAGCAGTTTATATAGAGATGTACTTATTGATACACCTATTGGTGTCTATTTTATGAAATTCTTGGAAGAATCTATTGAGAATTTACATGAAAACAGAACATTGAATGACATCTAAAATTTATTCAGAGAAATGAAACCTGAATACATCAGAACATCACTTAAAAAAATGTGGTTGGAAGATTTCTATGTATTCTGTGAATAAGAAGTATAATATTCAATTAAATTAGTTAATGCCAACATCTTAAGAAGTACTCTTAGAATTATTAAAATTTGAAGCAGATTTTAAAACTATTTAGGTTATTTACAATTCAATAGGAAATAGAGATCTTAATACAGCAGCTAAAATTATAACAACAAGAAAATAATTATGTCCAACAATTGGAAATTTATATCCTGATTGTGAAAAGATGTATTTATAAGCCATGACTTTGGATACACTTAGAGAAGCTGTTAAAGGTTGTGATAATTATAGGGATTTACTCAAAGATGCTCCTGATCCTTTGAAGAGAGAAGAATTTAATGTATAAACAAAGTAAATTGATATATCTACTATTATATAGAACACTTGATGATATTATGTATGATGATGAATGTAGAAGATATGCTCTTGCATTTGATGGATAAGGTTCATATGGAGTAATATTTACTATTTATATATTAGGTCTTCTATTCTTATTTGAAACTTAAAGAATAAGAAATTAGAAATATTATATGGTTAGCAGAAATGATTTCAAGAAAACTTGCAAAAAATCACCCAGGATGGAAAAAAATTATTATTCCCTTCAGTCACCTTGGAAAATGAGGATTAAATGCATAATATATATATTAATATATTGGTTATATCAAATATCAATTATTATAAAATAATTAATTCATAAATTCCTAAAAAATATAAGAAATTAAGAAATTATAATATAATACTGTTGTATGATATATATAAATTTATTATATATCATTCTTCCTTTGGAACTGCATTGTCTTACATTACTTTAGCATATGAGCATTTTTCAAATGCATATCCATCGGCTTTGAAGAATTTGTTCTGAAATTCAACCCAATGTAGACGTAAGGCATGAAGAAAACATTCCATCACATCCATCATCATTAAAACTCCAAAAGTAGCCATAGAGAAAATGGAATAACCAATCAAAAGCTATAGATAAATAAATGTAATAAAAATACTCTTATTGCACCAACAAAACCTCCACTACTAATTCCTCCATTCAAACACATTTAGAAGAATACTTCTGCCAATTAACCATGAGCCAAAGATAGTGCCCACAATCTCAAATAAGAGGCTGTATTTGAAATAGATCCCAATACAAATTCAATAGTTTCAATTACTTGATGTACAAATATATCACCAAATTCTTCGTGATGTTCACCACCAGAGGATGCAGCATGATTTTCTGAATTCTCTTGAGTGCCTTCAGTATCCTTAAAAAAAATATTATAAAAAAATATTACTTCATTAATTTTTTAATAAAGATCTTTATTCAAATTCTCTGTCAGATTGCTTGCACTTTAAGCATAACGTTTTTTATTTTGAGAATTAAGTATAAGTGGTTTTGGAAGAAGAATAATAGGAATGCAAAATAGTGCAATCAATAACATAGCAGTTTAAGTTGATGCTTCTGATGTACCATCTCCCCATAAAGGTGGATCAACCTATTTGCCAGGTGCAAGAATCATATTAATCATTAAAGTAATGACACTTGGGGCTTCATCTGTTTTTCCAGTCCAATTTACAAACCATTTATAAATAATTAAAAAGTCCATCCAACCAAAAGTGCAAGTAAAGAATATTAGTTAAGGAATGAATTCAAAAATAAAATCTATCCAATTTTTGAAATATATTGCATTAATTCCTTTCAAAATAATACCAAATGTCATATGAATGACACCAATAATAACAGCTAATTTCATCTTATATGAATTCATAAATGTTAATTCATTAGGTACACACATCCAGACTGGATCAATACCAAAAGGATATACACAACTTTCATCTTTTAAAGCCCATTCTAATTCATCTGGATAAGTAGGATGTTCAGCTGGTTATGTTTTATAACAAGATCCAAATAAATTTATTGGAACAGACATGAAATCATTATATATCCATCCATTATAAAATGCCCAAAAACCCATCATTAATACCATATGTCTAACTATTAGAGCATGTTTCATTAAAGAATCTGACTCTTTGATTTCTCTATTATATACACATAAATATATTCCTAATAATAATAAACAAAATCTAAATAAATATGATATTAAAATATACCCATGTCCAATATCAGCAAACATAACACCAAATAAAAATGGAAAAGTCATGACTGTAAATAATCCTGGATTAATTTCTTTATATCTTGGCATACCATAAGTATTAACTATTTCTTAGAAACCCCAAGTAATTTCATTAGTCTCAAAAAATGTTGGAGGTGGCTTTGTACCTTCAGGTGGTGATATTTATAATTATCCAGTTGGCAAACCCTCATAAATAGTTTGAACTTCTCTTAATGCTGAATCTACTTTTATATCTGCTCCTTAGGGTAACCAAATTGATCCATAAAGAACACTTCCTTGAACTCTCAAATAATTCAATTGAGTATAAAGATATTTCTCTTTAACCAAAAATAATTTTAATTCTTCTATTTATGAACAATTAGAATTTTAGTAAACTCTTTAGAAATCATCAAGATAAGCTTCAACTTAATTCTTTGTCATTTCTAATAACTATAAAAATATAATTTAAGAATATATACATTTCTAGTTTCAACTAATTCTGTTTCAATAGATCTTAATTTTTCTTAGAAAACCATATTATTTTCAGGGAATGTGTATTTAGCAACTTAAAAAGATTCACAAATTTTATTAAGTTTGTTTGTGATAACATTAGAACCTCCTCCACCTGGATAGACAACAACGAAAACGCTTTTAATAATTTTTGCGTCATCCTTTTTTTAATTATATTTAATTTTACATTTTTAGTGTCAACGATTTAATCACTTTCAATATCCATAGTATTCATCCAAGCATTACCTTTAGTAATACGAAAAATGATTCTCTTGAATCTAATTTAATCTTCTTTATTGATAACACCAACTAAATAATTAAATTTAACAGATCCTTGTAATACTTTGATGTCATCTAATTCTTTTCCTTACAAATTAACATATCCTTCAGCTACATAATTGGCACTATAATATATCAATATTATACGGTTAGAAAAATGATTATCCTAATAATGCTTCTCCTTTTAATAAGACTGATTTGTGTTCTATCAGTTTATTTCTGCGTTCATGAAGATTTTCCATATTAGTACTTTATTCAATAAGTTGCTAATGTTTTTTGTCTATATCATTTTCAATCTCATCCAAATAGGTGTGACTAGCTTTAGACCTTAAGAATTCAAAGGATTTAATACCTTTCCTTGATTATTTACTTGAAGTTTTTGATTAAAAAATTGACATCCTTGCAGTAAGTAATTTTCTTATAGTATTTCTTCATTTCATGCTCAATTAATTATAATTTAATTAGCAAGTCATCACATCTCTTAATATAATTAGCAAATGGCCTATTGATCATAGGCAATGTTGGATCATAATCAACAAAATGAATGCAATCTAACTCTGCCAATTCATTCATGACATTCCAAGCACTCTCTCTTGGAATAATCAATTTGTAATAGCCCATTGTTTGGGATCTAAAGAAGTTCATTATTAATTATTAATATCTTTATTTAGTTTTCCATATATTAATTAAACATGTAATCAATGATCGTTTCGCATTTTCTTAAAACATTAGACTCTTTTCTTTCTATAAGTGTTTATATCTCTTTATATCTTTTGAAGATAAATGCAAAATTACGTAATCATTAATCAAATAAAATATTATAATTCAATGTTTCAACCATCTTAAAAAATAAGAGAAGCTTCACATGCAGGTAGTTGGTATATTGGAGATGGTACATTTATAATCATTAAACTTAAGGTAAACAATTAGATGCCTAATTAAATGAATTCTTATCAAAGGCAAAAGGAGATACAATACCAAATATAAAAGCAATTATTGGACCGTAACAAATTATTTAAATTTGATAGACATGCTGGTTTCTCATATTCAGGACCAACAGCTGCATTTGCATATTAACATTTAGTTTAAAAAGAAAGGTAGTAGATATTCATATTTAAATTATTCTAGAATGAGAGTCTTTTTACTTGGACCTTGTCATCATACTTATATTAAAGGAATAGGATTATCTGAATTAGAAATGTATGAAACTCCACTTGGCAATATTGAACTAGATTAACCAAGTATTTAAATTTATATGATCTTTAAGCCATCAAACAATTAAGTGCAGAATTGAAAAAAAATTTTGTGTTTACAAATAAAGATATTGAGGAACAAGAGCATAGTTTAGAAATGCATTTACCATTTATTTATAAACTATTTCCAAAATGTAAACTAATTCCAATAATGGTTGGTGCCACTACTGAGGAATAAGATGCTTAAGTGGCAAGTGTACTTGTCAAATATTTTGTTGATCCAAATACTGTATTTGTAATATCATCTGATTTTTGTCATTGGGGAAAAAGGTTGATATATTATATTATCAATTTAGATTCTAATATACTCCTTATAATAAAGAACATGGAGAAATTCATTAATCTATTGCATAATTAGATGGATAAGCAATTAAAATAATTGAATCTCATAATCATAAAGAATTTTATAAATATCTTGATGAAACAGAGAATACAATTTGTGGTAGACATCCAATCTGTGTTTTACTAAATGTAATCTTATTTTGAAATTTAGATAATAAACCTTAGTAAATTGCAATTAAAAACATAATTAACCAAGTATAATCAATCAAGTTAAGTGACAAAACCAAATGATTCCTCTGTGAGTTATGCTGCATTTGTGACTAGTTTAATATGAATTTATAATTACACAAATTTAATTTATAATAATCAATTCAATAAAGTTACTTATTTTTATTATAAGATGAATTTTATTTCTTATTTCTTAATGTCTTCTTCTATGAACTTTTAAGTTTAACTTATTAGTTTTAAAATTATTCATTTTATTCTGTATATAGTCTTTCAATTTTTTTAACAGATTTTTAAGGGATTTGTGATTTTTCCCTTTTAGTTGGTTAGTTATTGTAATAATCATAATATTTGCTAATTATAGAATAGAAAGTAGTAGAATTGTCAATTTAATTGTCTGACTCAGTTGATTAAGTTAATTTCAAATTTATCTTTTTTATGTATGTTGAACTTGATGATGAACTAGTTATAGACTATTATCTATCTGTAATATCATCATAAATAATTAAAGGTTTTAATTTACGATGATTTTTCTCATCATCTCCAAACATATAATTTCTTCTATATGCAATTGGAGATTAACTAAAGAACTTATCTTCTAGTAGTTTTGTGATGTTTATTCTAAAATTTAAGTTATTGGAGTTAGAGGAGACTTTATCATCATTCATATATAGATTATTAATAATTAAGTTCATTTAATTTTATCAAGTTATTTTTTCCAAACTGATTGCGTAATCGATCTCAATTTTATTTAACTCATGAGATAATTAGTTTTATCAAATTTGCCATTTGCATGTATTCTGTATTTGCCTTCATTTGCAATTTCATCTATGTATGTAGGAGTATTAGAAAATTTGACCTTTGGAGATTGACTATTATAGACTTTTTAAACTTATAATGACTCATCTGAATGTCTATAATTTCTCCTTAATAAATCATGAACTTATTGTGTTGAGGAAATAGTTTAATAAGTTCTGCTCTTTTCTTTTTTCTTATTCATTACCTTTTACCATACTTTTGCAGGTGAATTGAATTATTTTAACGATTCAGATCTATATACTCTTAATTCTTCATTTTAAGCTTAATATAGAGAGAATTTATTTAGAGTCTGATTGTTGGAGAGAAATGGACGATTCAAAACAGATGATTGGGTTGCAAAGCTTTAAAGATTTGAAAGGTTATTGCCTTCACAATGTATAGGAATATGATCCAAAAATTTATTTCTAAATATTTTATAAAGTCTAACACAGTTTATAGACTTAGCACTATGACTTCTAAATTAACTTAAGATTTCATCATCTCCAAAACATTCCTTACATCCTAGAATTGAGATTGGATGAATGTTCTTATTGTACTATCTAAACAATTGTACTTCTCCATCTATAATTATATAGACTGCATCAACTGGATCTCCTTACTAATATATTAATTAATTTGGAATGAAGTTTATCTCACTAATATCACATAACAATTATCTCAATGTCTTAGCTGACCATTTATTAAACAAAGGAACTGTTGATAATAATGCAAATTTCTCTGCATCTTACTTTCGAGATTAGATATCTACAATCTATTATTATTTCATATACCTTTAATTCTTCTATAAACATCCCTCTTAATCACTATTAAATGAGACTTTTCTAAAGGCAATATTGTTTGGGTGTGAGATTAATCAAACATCATCACCTATTCTCCAAAATGTTGCCCAGGGTACAGATATCCTTAAGGAGTCAAATCTGAGAATCTCTGATTCAATACCTTTTATCTATCATATATTTATATATATCCCTTACAGTTCTGCATTCATCACAATATCTTGATAAGTAATATAACTTCTAGTCAACACCAAAAATTTCCCACTTAATATAAAGTAAAACTTTGTGCTCATATCACCAATATTAACCTAAGGCTCATAAGGTATATGACATTCATATTGAAGTTCTCTCAATATTTATTAATATTGTGTTTCTCCTACTTATTTTCTTAAATCATGAAAAAATGGAACATCCTTAAGACATAGATCAATAAACTCAAGATCAAACTTTGTTTTAAACATTGATCTCTTGTTTATTGATTATATCAATTGATAAAGATCACTCTCTCCAATAATCATAATAATTAATTCATTTATTCATATAACATTATAATATTTCTTCAACTCTTCTCTCTTATTCATTTTACAAATTATAAATCAAATCATAATCATTAATATTAGATAACAATTCTATCAAAAACTGTCTTTCATATTTATCATATAAGATTAATATATAAGAATTAAAAATTCCTTTAATTTTAGTATTAACTGAATAAAATATACATAAATTATAGTTATAAAACTTGAAAGTCATATTTAAATTCAATTCTTTTTCATTCAAATTTTAGTTATTTTGATTGAAATTCATATCTTCTAATATGAATAAGCTATAATAATTATATCTAAATAATTTTCATAATTTTATGTAAATAAATCTAGGATCTATTTTTTTATTAATATTTTAGAAGAAGTGATAGAAAGAGATGGTATTTTCAAATTATTATTATTTAAAAAATACATTATTGTTTAAGTTTTGATAAATAGAATCGAAAATAATTAGTACATTATTATAGTCAAAATTGAACTCTTATACTAAAAATACATTAATTGAGGAATTTTTCTTTTTGTTAACGATCCAAAAATACTATTATATTATTTATTAATTATGACTACATTAATTTACACTATTCTAAATGGATGTAGTAATCAATAATTAAAAACTCTTAATTATCCTTATTTTGTTAATATTATTCAAATTGTTATTAATATTGAATGATATTATATATGGAATAAATTAATCATGAAAAGAGCATCATTTATTGATTAACATCATCATTTTAATTAATTATATAATATATGTAAAAATTAAGATAGTTAATTATTTTCTACTGTTTAGATAGAGTATAATAAATGATCTTTTATTAGAATTTTGTTATTTTGAGTTGATCTTCATTGTTGATATAAGTGCTTATCAATTTTCATCATCATCATACTAAAAACATATAATAATTAAGTAATTTTAGCGCAAATTTTTTTTAAAATATTTAAAAAAATAAATTTTTAAAATTTAGTTCGTGAATGCAAACATAAGACTTAGGATAGTTGATAAATGCGTTACAATTAACTTATGGTGCCTCATAAGAAAGTGTTAACAGTGGAGAAGCATTATTAAAGTAGGCTTCTATGCAACCATTGTAATAAATATCCTCTATATAATTAGATATGCAATTTCTTTACTTAAAATAGTAGATGACTAGACTTAATAAGATATTGTTAGACAAAGTGCAGTAGTGAATTTAAAGACATTTTTGGAGAAGCATTGGGGAGAGAAGAAAGAGCCAGGACATTATGTAGTGAATCCAGAAGAAAAGGTTTTGATTAGAGCAACTATAATAGATGCTTTAGCAAGGTTAATTATAAATTACAATTATATATAGATGCATATAAGTTAAGAAGTTAAGGTCATAATATGAAGACTTGATTTACAAATTAGTAGCTATCGACTTTCCTAAGGATTGGCCATAATTAGTTCAATAATTGGTTATCAAATTATAAAACTACACATCATATGAAGATTTATGGAGTGCTTTATTGACTTTACGTAGAACATGTGAAGTTCATTAATTTTTATTGGATAATGATCGTAAACCATTAGAACCTTTAGTGGCATCAACATTTCCACTATTGGAGACCTTGATTTAAAAATTCCTTGAAAATTATAATGAATAAAGTGGATAATTGGTAAAAGTCATTTTAAAAATATTCCATCATGCTACTCATTTGGTTATGCCAATATATATGAGAGATTTTAATGCTGTTGCAAAATGGATGCTATTTTTGAAGACAATCATATCTGCACCTACTCCACCTGAATTGGCATCATTTACTTAGGATTCTGAAGAGGAAACTAGAAGAGAAAAGTCATACATATGGACAAATAAAAAATGGGCAAGTAGAATAGTATTAAGATTTATCCAAAAATTTGCAAATAAAAAGATGGTTGACCCTGATATGACTGATTTTGCAGAACATATTAAGAGTACTTATGCAATTGGATTTATGGAATTGTTTTATAAAATTCTTACTGATAATACATAATTCTAAGGACCTAGAACATGTTTATTTGCACTCAAATATTTATATTATTCTCTTAAATTAGATAATACCAAAGAATTATTAAAAGCACATTATGATAAATTAATTTATCATGTTGCTATACCTAAAATGTAATTGACTCCTAGAGATGATGAATTATGGAAGAATGATCCTGAAGAATATATCAAAAGATTAGATGATTTTTCTCTTTCAACATATAATATGAAAAATCCAGCTAATGATCTTTTATAAGAAATTTGTTAATAAACTGATGCAAATGGTAATCTGATGCTTATTTAATTCCTTACTTATTGTCAAAATGCCTTCAATTCTAATTTGGATCCATTAACTAATCAACCTTTAAATTTACTCAAAAAAGAGGCTTTACTTTGGGGAATTGAATGTTTAGTTCATTAAATTTCAAAAATAGATGCAATCAAAGATGGTTTGGAATCAATTTTAGAGAAACATATATTGCCTGAGTTTTAAAATCCAGTTGGATTTTTAAGAGCACGTGCTTGTCATATTTTTAATGAATATGGAACAATTGAATTTAAAAATAAATAGAATATATAATTGGCCGTATAAGGAATATCTAAATGTATTTTAGATAAAGAATTACCAGTAAGAGTAGCAGCAGCAATATCATTTAGTTCAATATTATAACATAAAGAAGCATAGGATTTAATTAGACCTTAATTAAGTTAAGTATTAGAAATTTATATTAAATTGATGGATTTGATAGATAATGAAAGAATTGTTAGATCATTAGAAGAAATAGTCAAAAACTTTACTAATGAAATTACACCATATGCACATTAATTAGCTGCACATATTGCAACAATATTTTAAAAATATTGTAATAAATAAAATTAAGGTGATGGTGATTCAGATGATGATGGAGAAGCTGAATTAGCTGCTTCTGGATGTCTAGAAGCAATAAAGAGAATCTTAAATGCACCACTTTAATAAGAATCTTATGTGTAATTAGAGCCAGTCATATTTCCAATTATTAACTTTGCTTTGACAGAGTCAGGATGTGATTTTATAAATGAAGCATTGGAAATATTAAATTTAATGCTCTATAAGAAAAAATAATTAACACCAGGATTATGGTTTTATTATCCAGTTTTATGTTATATAATTATTGGATTACCATAAGAAACAAATGTATATGCAATATAAGGATTAACAGAAGAATAATATATCTTATTGGAAGGATGTAAGAAAGATTGGGGTAGTGAATTTGTTACTTAAATGTTGGGATCATTTAGAAATTACATTTAAAAAGGTGGAAGTACATTTTTGACTTAAAATGATTTCTTTGGAAATTCATTTATTTCATTAATTTTCAGATTTATATAAAAGATATATACAATAGCTGATAATGGTTCAGATGAAACTGATTAAAATCAAGTTACTACAATATTGATTGCATTAATTGAGAATTTCCCAGGATAAATAGATAATTTAATTCCTCAAATTATAGATTTCTCATTATTAAACTTATAAGTATATATAATTTTATATTATATTTTTAGAAAGAAAAGAAGACTAATAAATTTAAGATGGTTAATATTGGTGTTTTGAATATGTGTATATGGTATAATCCATAACTTGCATAAAATTATTTAAATAGTAAAGGAATTACTGATTAAATATTATAAACTTTATTGACAATGGAAAAACACTATAAATATGAATGGGATATCAGTAGATTAATCTTTGCTCTTTGTCAATTATATTCACTTCCTTAAATTCCTAATTATTTATTGACAGCATCTTCAGAAATAGGAAAATTATTTGTTAGATTATCAACTAAGATTTTAGAATTAAGAGAGGAGGAAGAATCTTGTGAATAAGAAGATTAAGCAGAAGAGGAAGTAGATGATCAAAAGAAATTAGCAGATAAGATTTAGGATTTGGAATAGGATGAAGAAGATGATGATGATGATGATTATGATGAAGATGAAGATGATTATGCTGAATTATATGATAGTCCTTTGGAAGATTATGATGCTATATTATTGATGGAGAAATTGATATTGACTTTACAATAAAGCAATCCTCAATTATATAGTGGACTATTTTCATAATTATCATAATAAGAGCAAGAATAAATGACTAAGAACATAAAAGAAGCTAAAGAATAATATGATGAATGGATGAAATAGAAATAGCAACAATAGCTGAATAAATGATTGCTTGTTTATAACATATATAAATGATTATCTTTAAGAACAATCATGTCCTATATATATATCCAATATTCAAAAGTGTTGCTACTTATATATTATATCAATTTATTATCTCAATTTTATCAGTATAATTATGTGTTTTAATTGCTGTTTCATTTGAAAACTTCTTGAATCATTTTAAAAAAGTTTGAAAAACAAAATAGATTTCAATTTGCTAATCAAAATATACTAATAATTAAATATAAAATTAGAAATAAATGGAATTCTAAGAATAAATCTAAATTCTTAGAATTCAACAAGATAATAGATCAATATAACAAATTGTTAAACCTGAGAGAATGATTACAATTACTCCAATAAAAAACATTATTGATAATATTATCATATTTATAATTATATTCTTGGATTAGAATTAATTAATTAATATAATTAAGACAACAATAATTATTTAGACATTTTAAGTATTTTTAAAATCATGCTTCATACTCAAAATTTCATATTAATACTTAATCTTAATTTGATTTCTTGATATTCTATGCAAATGTTTCCATAGTATATTCATTAGTTTATGTTTCTTCACAATATGTCATAATTTTAAATTTCTTCCAGTCATATTTGTCATTCACTTTAACCTATCTTGGTTCCAAATTGTATTTCTATTTTCTACTACATAGAGATTTTCTATAATTTGACATTATTGCTTTGGCTGAAGAATAATTTATACATAAGTCTTTTGATGCCTTAATTTTATTAATATTATACCTATCTAATAGTTTATCCATCTCTCACAACCTTTATAATGAATTCTTATTTTAGTTTATCAGTTAGTTTTGCATATCTCTTCTCAATGCATTTTCCAATCATTTTTTTCATTTCCTACTCCACTTGATTTTTTATTTCTTCTATAATCTTCATAACTAATCGGAATCACTGTAGGCAGCTAATTAAATTTAGAATATTAATATTTATGATATATAATAACATTACGCATCATTATTTTATATTAATATAATCATTATTATACTTAATTTGACATAAGTTTGAATACCTAAAATAGACATATAAACCTAATATATTCTTTATAATTAAATTCTATTCTTATTATCAAATACAAATACTTAAACTTATATATATAATTAACTAAATATTTATCCTTAATTTTTTAATTATAATAACGTTATGAACTCCAAAAATTCTCTAATCAAAAACTACAGTCAAATTCCAACATTTATTAAAACACTTAATAACTTTAAAACAGTTAGAATAAGATCTCTTAAAAATTTGTCCATCTAACCTGTGCCTAAAAAATCTCTATTCACTAACTTTTCCAAACCAAACACAAAATTTAACTCTCCCATAAAAAATAAAGAAAACCTTATGGCAAAATAGAATGATTTAATAATAAATGGAATTGATTCAGATTCTCTGCATTTTTCCTATTCACCCTCATCCTGCAAAAAAATTCAATATTAAAAACAAGTCTTTAATAGAAAACTCAAATAGACCTCTAAACTTGACTAAAAAACTAAGCAATTATGCAATATATATTTAGAAAGACCAAAAAGTAAAATGAACAATCTTTTCTAAAACCAAGTAAATTAACCAATTATAAGAATAAGATGAATTTGAGATTTATTTGTATTTTATTTAAGTATTATAACTATTACTTAATAAAATGATTCTAAACATATAACAAGATTTTATAAATATTGTTTTACATCCTCATAATTTTTTAAAAGGTTTATATATATACAATCTAAGTCTAATCAATTATATTCTGTACTCCTTTTGACTGTTTTTATTTTATTTTTGTTTATTTCTTTTATTATATTCATTTATTTAGGCTTTTAGTAAATTTTCTTTTTAATTAATTTCTTTAATTTATATGATCTTATGTTCCTATTCAATTTTAGATTACTCTTGTTTTCTATTATTGCTAAAATTATTATTAAACTAATTATTAGATAGCCATAAAATCTTCATTTTGCCATAATCTTTGATTTTTATATAATTAAATTTGTAATTTAATCAATTTAATAAAATAATTATTATATTATATGCCTTTATCTTTATTATTTCATAAATCCAGAAATAAAATAAATATATAATCAATTAATAAATTATTAAAGAGCCCTTTTAAGCTCAATAGTTAATGCTTTCTTTAACATACCAGGAGGTAATCTAATTTTAAAATCGATTTCAGCATATGCTTAGACTCTTATTTCTTAATTTTGAATTTCTTCCAAAAGAAAGCCACTTATATAAATGATTCCTCTTGTAGTTTACTATGATTATTCAGTGTTAATAGAGCGCAGTACTTAGATATATTTATTTTTGCAAATCTGCTTCTAATATTTGATAAAAACATATTCTCTAGAGTCAACAAATTAAATTTTCTTGAAACTTGCATAAATTAATTAATAATCACTAGTTGTCTACAAAGTAGTAAATTAATCAATTTGAGTGAGATATGTATAATTTAAAAATTCGTTTATTGATTTCTTCTTCATTTTGAATTCATATTATATTTATATTACAGTGTATCTCTCTGCAAGTTTAAAACTCTTAAATAGTATAATAAGTTGATCATCATGATAAAGCTCCTCTAAATCTTTAGTAGTCTTGAGTCTGTAAAGGAAAATATCAATAGATTAACTTATTGTTTCTTATATATTGTCTGAGATAGCTAGTATTTGCTCTTCTGAATGTTCATGATAATTTTCAGACTCATCAATATTATCCACTTTTGTATAGGGTTCTTGTTGTTGTTGTATATCAGTTTAAGGTAATTCTGACATATTCTTTAAATTTGGTCTTTAAAAAAACTTTTTGANTTTATATATATACAATCTAAGTCTAATCAATTATATTCTGTACTCCTTTTGACTGTTTTTATTTTATTTTTGTTTATTTCTTTTATTATATTCATTTATTTAGGCTTTTAGTAAATTTTCTTTTTAATTAATTTCTTTAATTTATATGATCTTATGTTCCTATTCAATTTTAGATTACTCTTGTTTTCTATTATTGCTAAAATTATTATTAAACTAATTATTAGATAGCCATAAAATCTTCATTTTGCCATAATCTTTGATTTTTATATAATTAAATTTGTAATTTAATCAATTTAATAAAATAATTATTATATTATATGCCTTTATCTTTATTATTTCATAAATCCAGAAATAAAATAAATATATAATCAATTAATAAATTATTAAAGAGCCCTTTTAAGCTCAATAGTTAATGCTTTCTTTAACATACCAGGAGGTAATCTAATTTTAAAATCGATTTCAGCATATGCTTAGACTCTTATTTCTTAATTTTGAATTTCTTCCAAAAGAAAGCCACTTATATAAATGATTCCTCTTGTAGTTTACTATGATTATTCAGTGTTAATAGAGCGCAGTACTTAGATATATTTATTTTTGCAAATCTGCTTCTAATATTTGATAAAAACATATTCTCTAGAGTCAACAAATTAAATTTTCTTGAAACTTGCATAAATTAATTAATAATCACTAGTTGTCTACAAAGTAGTAAATTAATCAATTTGAGTGAGATATGTATAATTTAAAAATTCGTTTATTGATTTCTTCTTCATTTTGAATTCATATTATATTTATATTACAGTGTATCTCTCTGCAAGTTTAAAACTCTTAAATAGTATAATAAGTTGATCATCATGATAAAGCTCCTCTAAATCTTTAGTAGTCTTGAGTCTGTAAAGGAAAATATCAATAGATTAACTTATTGTTTCTTATATATTGTCTGAGATAGCTAGTATTTGCTCTTCTGAATGTTCATGATAATTTTCAGACTCATCAATATTATCCACTTTTGTATAGGGTTCTTGTTGTTGTTGTATATCAGTTTAAGGTAATTCTGACATATTCTTTAAATTTGGTCTTTAAAAAAACTTTTTGAGGCAATACACGCATTGATTACCCATAAATAATATTATTTAATCAGAAACTCTACTTTAAAGAATACAAAGTCTAACTATAAAAAGTAATTCAAAATGATATAAGAAAAATTTACATTTGCTTGATGCAAGACTAATGGTTTCACAAAATTATAGAACTTCTTCTAATTATTATAAAATTAATAAATAGGAAAAAAAAATAGTATTAAAAAAGCCCACTACATAGAGTATTTTATGCATAAAAAAAAGTTGTTATGAATAAAATCATTCTTATGATGTTTATTTTACTAGAACAAAAGGTATCTTTAATAAATCTATAATGAATAGTGTCAGCTCTAATAAGTAGCTTAAGCTGTAGTAATCTCAAACATCAACAAATTTTAAAAGATATAACAACCAAATAATATTAATTGAAGTATATTAATTATTAGAAATAAATAAAAATACTCTTTAGATGTATGTATCAATAATACTAATTCTAAAATAGAAGAATTATTTTAACAATATTTCATAATGCATTTAAGCTTATGCATTATTTTTACTTACAATTTTAATAATTATAGGCATATTTATGCATAGTAATTGTTATAGAATATATTAAAATAATATTAGTGTAAATATAGAGAAATTGCCTTTATATCATTAAAATTATAAAATGGCATATAGTGGATTGAAGATGGTGATTAATAATACAAATTTTAAACGTTGAAAAAAAATTTAGACAAAGTGATCAAATTCAATTAATTAGGAAAAGTGGCAAAGTCATAAATAGAATTTTAAATTTAAGCTAATAATTAAATTATAATTTACTAATTTACCATAATCACAAGAATAAATTTTTGTATTTATATATTAATAAAATAAAAATTTATATGAAAATTTTAATGTGATTTTAAATATATTATAATTCAAAAAAATTATTCTTTGGACATTATTTCACTTACTTTTTTTAATAGAAAATGCTCTTCACTTTTTTCAAATAAAAGTTAGTTCTCTACTTCTTGTAAATTAATTAGACAAAAAATGACTAAAAAAAGTAATGAGATTTCTAAATTGTAGCAAAATAATTTTGGATTTGTACCACATTAATAGTAATTTCATTTCAAACATTAAAAATAGAAATTATGTAATTATGTTACTATGAATGAGATAAACAATTATTATAACAAAATACTTTCAAGAAAATAGGGTATTTAATTCATCAATAAAAAGTGAAATATCGAATTTATATATTTTTATTCGTATTTCATAAAAAGTACTCTGGTACTCTTCGTGTAGTTTAAGGTTCATTTTCTCTTGGAGCAGGTTCATATTGGGAACTATATAATTATATTTTAATATAAATTTACAAGGTCATCTTAAGTTGATCATCAACTTCTAAAATACAAGCTTAATTACCACATCTATAACAATAATTGGGAGCTGAGAAAATAGTGACTGTCTTTCTTTGATGGACATGTTAAAATCCTTCCATCACTAATTAATGAGCTCGAACAACCATTTTTAATTTATTCTAGTGTAAAAATTTATCTGTTATATCTTAACCCCATGTCCATCCTGCTCCTCTTGGTGAAACTCCCCATCCCATCTTAGTTTCTTCAGGATCACTCCATAATAAATCACAAATAGCTCCTTCATGAGGAATATCCTAAATTCTATTTAATTATTTAATTTATTCAACTGATTCAATTGCAGGTGAAAGTCCACCATGAGTGCAAAACAACTTAGTAAAATATACTAAAACTTACACTGTTTTCAACAATTGCTGCTAAAGGAAGATATCCAAAAACATCAGTAAAATGTTTCCAAACAATTTCATTACCATATTTACGTTAACATTCATCATAAAACCCATAAATTTTGTTGATTTCTCTATTTTCATGATTTCCTTTCAAATAATTAAATATATATACCTCTTAAAACAGTCAATCTGTCTTTATAACGAACCTTAAGACAAAGAATGAGACTAAAAGTTTCAACACTTTGAGAACCTCGATCAACATAATCACCTAGAAAGAGATAATTAGTGTCCTAAAATAATATAATTAAATTACTGGCAATCTACCTCCAATGTGAAACAATTCAATTAAATCATGAAATTAACCATGAACATCTCCACATATAGTTAATGGTGCTCTCACAGAAACAATATTTGGTTCTACAACCAATATTTCCTTTGCCTGATCAATAATGCAAATATAAACACTTTTTGACATAAGATCTTTATATCATCTTCATTTAATAATTAGCCACTATAAAGAGCTTCTATATAATTATCAAAGTTTCCTAACTCTAAATAACTCATTTTTGATGGATTCATAATATATTTATATTATATAAATTGAACAATATTTCAAACATTACTTCCAACAATCTTCCTTCTTATTTTTCAACAAAATCATATCTGGATTAAAAATAACCATGAAGCTCAATAACTATATTATTGATTTCAAATAACAAGAGTTTAATAAACATACAAAAAAGCTAAAGCAAAAACAACAATAATTTTAATTTAAATTACAAATTCGAGTGCAATAAGAATTAAAGAATTAATATATTTAGCAATAAAATAATGTTAACATGTTAGCAAGTATGAACTTATATAAAAAAAAATGAGATCAAACTTATTTAGCTTATAAAATTAATTAATTATTCAAATTGTTGAGAAAATATGATCTATAATTAGATTAAAAATACACAGTATTTATTCAACTAATATTCTTTATTTAAATAAAGAGATATTAAAGTAAAATAATAGTCACTAAACATCCTAAATATATATATTGTAGTTTAGGAATAGTTTTAAGTATCATTACCTAAATTATTAATATAAGATCTACTATTATGTGTCAATCACTTTTATACTCTATAAATAATTAGAGTATGTAATAGTATTTACATAAACATCAAATTATAATCTAAATTAATTAATAATTATAGAAATTATATATATTTTTTCTTCCTTTAACTGAAATTTAACTTTATTTGTAATTCATATCACTTTTGAATATTAAAGTTTACTTCTTCAAAAATAATTGTTTCCATTCTAAATTGATAAGATTCATTTCTGTCTCCAGAGATTATTCTACAATCTAAAGAAATTGGTATAATAAATTAAGTTATTTCTAGAAATCTTTTTTATTATAATATTTATTTATACTTGTTTAACGAAATATGTTATAACCATACAGAGGAAGTAGTCAACCACCTCGATCAAATCAGATCTAAAACTATGTATTAAGTGATTTATAAATAAAGTCTCGCTAGAACAATTAATAAATGGCTCCGTTTAATATGTTTTAAGAATTTGATTCTATGTCTAACAAGATGATGCAACATATGGATCGTTAATTGGCTAACTTAGGATTTGGATCTGTTTTTAAAGGCTTTGATGACTTAGAAAATGAAATGATGGAATTCTCGAATCTTCACAGACATATGACAGGTTTAAATTAAAGAGATGTTAACTAACATTCAAAGGATGGAGTATTTTAGGTATACTCATCTAGTTATGTTTAATCATCTAAAATGGGATAGGATGGACGAGTTATTTAAGAAAAATATTTCGATAATAATGCTGTGGCTAGAGGTGTTAATGGTCATACTGTATATTGATATAATTTAAATTAGATAAGTGAAAGATAATAAGGATATAAGAATAGTGATGGAATAGATAGATTTGGACATGAAAGAATGATGAATGATAAAGGCAGAAAGCATGTAAGAGAAAGAGATAGAACAGGTTAAATAACTACTACAAATCATTATTTAAACATGGATGAAAATTAAGTTGAATAATTTGAAAATGAATGGTTGGGAATGGGAAGAAATTTAGGAATAAATGGACCCTCAGGAGGTCTAAGAGCATTGTAAGGCTAATCAAATATGAGAGATCTTAATAATCATCCTTTCCCAAGAGAACAAATCACTTATGGTGCTCCTAGTTATCCTAGAAACAGTAATATATTATAATAGAATAAAATTAGATGATATCTAACCAATTATGTTGGGAAATAATAATAGTAGTTATAATAACAATCCAACTCGATTGGCTTTACCCTAACAATAATAATAAATAACTCGATCTGCCGTTTAATAACCTGGAATACAAAGTAGAGTTCCACAATAATAACAACCTGTTAGGGCTTTACCTCCAAGAAAACAAGAGATTACTGGAGTATATCAAAATAAAGGTGCTAGAAATCAACATCCTCAAGCTGGATGAAAATACAATTTTTTTTATTCAGAACAATAATACCAATTTTATTATATATTAGATAAGTCTATAATACTTATCTTACAATTTTTTTTAATTAAATATTTTAATTTCTATTGGTTATTCTTTTAGAATAGTATTGGCTATAAAATATGTATTACTATTTTTTAAATTAAACATTAGTTATTATATGTATATCAAAGCATATCAAGCAAAGCCAAAACCTTCTTTTCCTTCTAAAATTGCAAGTTCTAATTTATCCTTCAAAATTTGCCTAGTTGGATAACATGGTAAATCCAATTAATTAAAACTATTTAAATCATTTAATATTTACCATGTATGTGAAGTTGGCAATTCAAAATTTATATAATGCTTTTTATGAATTTATATCTTTTATGAACCATGAATACCTTTTAAATCCTTAAATCCTCCAAGTGGTACTTTCGAAGTTCCTTTAAATTATAAATTAAAATACCTGTTATAAATTATAAAAAGGCTGCTCTCTTGCTTTCATCAAAACTCTCCAATAATTCCCAAAGCCATTAAATAACTTTATCTTCTCTATCATATCCATGATATTCCACATTCTCCTTCATATCCTCAACTTAAATAATTAAATTTATAATATACGATCTATATCTGGTAAACCACATAACATAAGTTCCATTTCTTTCCATTCAAATATACTAATTAAATTTTAAGGTATCAATTCATGAAAACCATTCAAAAAAGCTTCTATTTAATCTTTAATTTCCTTTGCCATTTTTTAATAACAATAAGTTTGAACATACTCAAATTTATTATCTTAAGTCACTTATTTTTATCTACCTCCCTCAACAAGTTCTCTTTCTTCTAATTTACCAAAATTATCAACAGTATAAGTCCAATAAATTCCCCAATCATTCACATTTTCTTCTAAAATCTTTTTCATACTTTTATATTCATTTAAATCAATATCTTCCATATCATGTATAGTCAATTTCTAACCTAAAATATGTTTATAAAATGAACGAGTGAAATAGGTATCCAATAATTATCCATCATAAAGTGCTTTTCCAACAATCCTTCCTATAAATTTAAAATATTTAACATGATCAGGATTTACATGTGATTTATTACTAGGTTAAAACATTTAACCATTTAAAGATGGAGTGAATAAAGCATAATTAGGATTAAATATCTCTTTAGATAACATCAAAAACCATTCTCTAGTAACTCCACCTTAATCTATACCTTCCTCTCCATCAAACTCTACAGTTAATTTACCTTTTAAATCTTCAGGTTTTAATTTACTAAAACGATGATAGGAATCCATAAAGATGTCTTTTCTTCTGCATCTCACAGCAATATTGCCATAATGATGTTTATTATTCTGTATTTTCAATTATTTCAATTCCATTTTAAAATACTTCTACTTATTATCAAAATCAACAATTCTTGGATTCTTAAATATTATGATTCCTAAGCTATCATTTGTAATTTTTCGTTTTTCTTTAAATTCTTGAAATCTTTCTTTTAACATCATATTTAATAGTGCTTTTCCACTTTCACAAATTTATTAAAATAATTCATCATGTAATTATTGCTCTTTTACTTCTTCATATTATTCTTCCATCATGGCAATTTTTTTGGACTCTTTTTGATTCAATCTATTTTTTTTTATTGGATTAACAATTTGATAAATTATAAAAAAGCATTCTAAATATGGAGATATCTTTGGTGCCAATTTGATTATTTATTATTAAGGAATTTATTATAAAAATTTTATCATATTTTTCCATAATTCTATTAATTCTTAATTTTCCAATAATTCTTTAAAATTTAATCTTACATCTTATTAATTATTTTATTCACTACCTTTTGTATTAATTTCCCTTACAAACTAAAATACATTTATTAGAGCCTTATCTCCATTAAATATTTCATCAAATTATTATTCTCTTTAAAATTTATCATTTATCTCTCTAATAGCTTTCTCTATATATGTCTTTATATATTAAACTATTAATAATTGATTTTCTTTGTTGTTACATAAACTTTGAATAATATTTGAAAAATTCTTAACAATTCCACCCATATTTGATAAAAGAGTTTTACATATGCATTCAACAGACTTTTAGTCTAATATTACTTATTCCTATTAAAAATTCTTTTATTTTGTACTTATATTTGTTATTGCCTAAATAAGCATTTCCTAATGATCCCCTTAAAATTCAGGTAAAAGTTATATTAATTGTAATAATGGAAAGCTTAAGTTATTTTCAGATGAACTTAAATTTTATTTTTTATTTTCGAAAAAGTAATTAATTGAAAATCCTTATAATTTAGAAAACAAATACAAAACTTTTAATGAAACAACATTATATATTTTACTAAAATCTCTTACAAGTCCATTTCTCTTTACTAAAAATCTTGGTGGAAAGGATTTTGCTTAATCTTAATCTTTAGATTTATTTGTTTTTAAAATAAAAAATAAAGTATCAATTAATTTATGCTCCACATTTTAATTATTGCATAAAGAAATAAAGAGATTAATAGGAAAATTGATGAAACTATGAGATTCTACATAAAGTAAATTTAATAATGATTCTGTAAATTCTTGTTCTACAGTTCCTAATTTTGATATTATATGTCTTTGTGTTTAGAGTAAATTTTTTAAATTTTATGATTTTGATTAAGGTTTTCTCTATTAATCTTATTCTTCTTAAATTGGGATTCTTTATTCATTAACAAGTTGATTTTAAAAAATAGATCTATAATTCAAAGTTCGAGAATTAAGTCGATTTTATAAGTTAGTTGGATTCTATTGAGCAATATTTATTGTAGGAATAATGTTTTAACTTCTATGATTTTATGATTGATTTCTCTCAGAATTATTATTCATTATTAAATCTTATGATAAATCTACTACTGTAAATTATTATTATGGAGTTTAATTTATAGGGGCATAATATTATTAAATTATTTCATTTCTTATATCAGATGGAAGGGAAGCCAAAAATTAAGGATCTATTCCCTCAATTTCCTAAGGAAGTGCTAAAACAATTTCCATCATCATATCTTCATTGAGATCTTCAAATACTGATGGATCAATATCATTTTTAATGAGATATTCAAATTTTTTGCCTACTCTTTTCAATAGATTGTAACTTTTAGGATAAATTTATTAATAATTTTAATTATTTTATTCAATTTACTATTATTATTATTATTATTATTATTATTATTATTATTATTATTATTATTATTATTATTATTATTATTATTATTATTATTATTAGTGAATTGAATGCTACTCAATCTTCTCTGGTTAATCTATTTTTAATTTTTGATTATTTTCTTCTTATTATAATTATTATTATTAGATCTAAACTTCTACATTAATTTAATTAGATTAATTTAAATGTTAATCTTTAATTTCTTACTCTTATTGATGATTTTAACATTATTATAAAAATTAATGATTCTATTGCCTAGTATGCTACGATTAAAGTATCTAAAATTAATTTTCAATCTATGACTCAATCGTCTCTGCATTTTACTATTATAAATTAGCAAGTTATTATCCAAATTATTCCTAAAATTGTCTTTATTATTCCAATATAATATCAAATTAGGATTATCTATCCGGAAAGTCTCTTATTATTTATTATAGGTTATTACGGGCTGTTCTTCCTAATGATCCTTGTTGAACTCTAGCTAAAAATCTATCATCTTAATCAATTCTTAGAAAATCTATTCCTAATCTATCTCGAAATATATTCAATGGTTAAATTCTTATATCTTATTAAGGTAAGATTATTTCTTCAGAGATTATTTGCTTTGAAGTAAATTAAGTTAATTCAGTCCACCAATTTATAAGTTATTAATCATCAATTTATTTACTTTCTGGTAATAAAAAATTAAATTTTTCTAAGATTTTCACAAATTATTATGAAAACTTAACTCCTATCAATTAAATTATGGATTTAGTCATTTTCATAAAAGTTAAATCCTCTTTATTAGTAAGATGATGATAATGATTTTATGATTCATTATTATTTTCAGAGACTTAATGATTTTAATCATTCTAATGTTATTACATATTTTATTCTAAATCTTAAACATTACGTTCCAAAATTTCTTAATCAATATCCTATTAATTTAATACATCTAATTCACTATTATCATCATCTGAATCATTGCTATCTTCTACATCATCATCTTCTCCAACTTAATCATCTTCTTCATCAGTCCAACTTGAATTTACATTTTAATGATCTTCAGCTTCAATTTAATTATTTCCACTTTAACTTGTAATCCAACTATTTACTTCTAGATCAAATTCTTCCTCAGCTGATTCTTAGATATTACTTGAATCATATCTACTCTCAACACTTTAAATATCATTATCATCATCATCATCATCATCATGATCAATTTCAAATTCATCCTCTTCATTTTCAATATTTTCGAAAACTTCCATATCAAGGAATCTATTTCTTCTACGAAATGGTGACCATAAATGTTATAAATTTAAATCATCTTATCTTACACTCTAACGCATTTCCTCATGAAATGAAATAGGTAAAAGAGGCCATTTTATGAAATATTTTATAGGGTCTTAATAAATAATGCCTTTATTTGGAATAAGTTGACAATTTATATCTTCTGGTAAAAGTTATCCAACCATTCCTTATAATTAAAAGTGATCTCCTTATTATTCTTAATTTTATTTTGGTATCACAATGAAAGATGGTTTATATAGTAGTAAATAAGCAGCTACGTTGAATAAAACGGCAAGGGTTTCATTTAAGAACTATATTTCATTTTCATAAACATAATATGATTTCAAATCAAAGTTCTTCATTCCATCTATATAGAGTTTGACAAAATTAAATGAATTTTATAGTTCATTTACATTTTTAAAACATATCTTAGCAACAGATTTTATTTGTATTAAGAATACTAATGTGTCTGATAAATAACAAAAATTTTAATCTAAAGTTTTAATTCTCTTCTCTATTCCAT